GTAGGCAATCTGCACCGCCTCTGGCATGGACACCTGGGGCACTCGACGCCTCCGACAGCACTCGGTCATGCCAGCAATCTGTGCAGGAAGAATAAAACCATAATAAATCAGGCCAGTGGGCTGTGCACAGCCACTTACAGACCAGCAAATGGATGGAGTACGTCAGCAGGATCATCAGCAGAACCGAAAAAAACACACCTATTAAAATGCCCGAGTGGCGGAAGGCCAACGGCATCGCTAGGATTCCAGTTCCAATCACGCATTTCAGCAAGGATATAATCGCATCACAGTTGCTGACAGCCAGAGAGAGAGAGAGAGAGGAGTAGAAAAAGATTCCACGAGGGAGGAAACGTAGCAAAGGAAGAGGAAAACTCACGTCAGTGGCACCTCAACGGTTCGCTTCTCATACGGATTGTAGATGAAGAACGACGACTTGGAGCGACTGCAGGACACATAAAGGATTGAGGGGAAACTCCAGCTAGAGGCCAGGGAAAACACTCACATTTCAGTTAACGCCTGTTCCGCCTGCTCTGGCTTTGGCTCCATTGCCAGGCCAAACCTCAGCCACACACAAAGGAAACAACAACAACAACAAATTCTCTCGCACTTTTGACAACAATTTCAAATTAGTTTAGTCGACTCGCAACTGCAACTCGGATTGGGCAGCTGCGCACATTCAATTCACTTAAAACGAATCAGAAGCGGCGCCGGAAATGGCAAACACTGCAGCGGCAAGGCTGCTGCAGCACAATCAAAATGGCTGCACATGCGCGGCCATTATCATAATAAGTGCAACTTATTGCCTACTTTGGGGCGCTGCAGCGCATAAACTGCCCTAACTAACGGGGTAGCATAACTGCAGTGTGGTCGCATTGTTGCTTGGAGCTGAGGTTGAGGTTGGGGTTGGGGTTTGGTTTGGGGTGCAGACAAGACCAAGGCAAGGCCGGAGATAGAGCTGAGAAGTGACTCCCGTCGTGGGACAGTTGGCAAAACAATTGGTACAGTGTTGAGTGCGGTCTAAGGTACCGAATCAGATGCATACTCGTAGGAGATCTCTAATGAGCAATTGAAATGTTAGATGAACTCTGTCATGGGTTCCCTTTAGTAGCTGGAATCAGCAACCCGCCATAGCAATATCTCAAGAGAAGAAGTCAACCCATTTGCCCATACCACACCCCGTCTAGATTCCCTATCCTCTTGGCCAGTCTCCACTGTTATTCTTAGCCAACTTTAACTGCCAGCCAAGCCAAGTAGCTTTGCCCCTCCCCAGGGGACGATTGTCAAGCCAGAATGTGCATTTCCGCGTCCGCATTTAGTTGTTCTTGCAGTTGCAGCTGCAGTTGTGCGTGTATCTGTCTCTGCTGGCAAGTGTCTGTGTGCGTGTGTGTGTGTGTGTGAATTTAACAGTAAATTGAATTAAAATTTATTGTGCAAATTGCAGGATTCCAAAAGCGCATCTAGTCCCGCGTGCTCCGCTGTGAGAGCCGGAACACGCGCTGACTGCAGTCGGGAATGGCAGAAGACATCGGCGCAAATCCAATACAAATAAAATTAAGTAAAAATGCACACAGAGCACACACAGGATGTGAGTGGGGGGAGTGGGGAGTGGGGAGTGTGGAGTGGGTGCCATTCTATGGGGCAGAGTGTTTGCCAGAGAAATATGCAAATGTGATATTGTCGCTGGGCGACATTTACAACAATTACAATAACAACGAGAGAGAGAGAACAGGAGGAGGAGGAGGAGGATGCCCTGCCTTGCCTTGGTGGGAGGGGAAGTCGGGAGGGCGGCACCTAACTGCGTGCGACATGTGACACGATATTCAAATAAAGGCGCACAGCGCACTGTGCGGGTGCTGGTGCTGGTGCTGGTGGAGGCGTGGCATTTATAGCATATATTTTGCATAAAGGGAAATATGCAGCAGCAGTAGCAGCAGCAGCAGTTACTACTGGAAAAGAAAACGAGCGGCGGCAGCGCAGAAATCAAATAAAACAAATTTGGAATTTTACAGCAGACAAGGAAGGCAGCAGCAGAAGCCGGAGAGGCCCCCCAAAGAACTGCTTATGTTGGGTCCCAGTTTCAGTCGCAGTGCCAGTTCTGGCTCCTGGCTCCTGGCTCCTGGGTCCTGCTCTGGACTGACTGGATGCCATGCCTCCACATGTTCCTTAAACTGTCAGCAAATGTGTGTGTGTGTGTGTGTGTGTGTGTGTGTAGAAGTATTCCAGGGTGAGCGAGTCTTTGTGTCTGTCCGGGCGGGATGTGTGTGTGGGTATGTTAGGGAAACAAACAGACTGACATTCAATTTAAATTCCTATACAAATAATTGCATGGCATTGGCGGGGCCAGAGTGTAACCAGGAGTCGGAAGTGGGGTGCCGTGTAGTGGTGTGGAGACTGTGATTGCTTGCCGCCTGCTAACGATAGATTGCAATTTTGAGATAAAAGTTTAACCTGAACTACAGTTGATTTGCAGAAAATATGCATACAAAAAGGCATTGGGGACTGCACCCCCAGCCTAAAGGATCAGGCTGTTCTGTGCCAAAGGGGGCACTGCCAGATGGCACCCCCGATAGCTGCACAATTCGATGACTACAGTGAGCAGGTGCATCGTGGCATACTCATGCACAATAATTAATTATAATTATTCACACGCTGGTTTTCGCACAAATTCTTTCAAAGCGCAGACTAATTTGCTTAGCTTAGCTCAATGTCAATGGCCAGACACGAGTCCGGTGCGAGCATGTCTGTTTTCCAGACCAAACCAGACCAGAACCACACCACACCACGCCACACCAGACCAGAAAGTCATCTTGCAAATAATTATAAATTCCTTGCGGTGCTCGTCTACCTGCTGCTGCTGCTGCTGCTGCTGCTCTCTTTATCCTGCACTGTTATTCCGGGCTCATCATCATCCATCTCTAAGCCAAAAATAAATTCCATTTCAACGCAAATTTCCCAATGCTGTGCACGCACAGGACGAGGACGAGGACAGCGACAGCGACAGCGCGGAGGATGTGCTGGCTTTGTCCCTGGCAATTGGCGTTCACCTGGCACGGCATCCCAAACATTATCACTGCGGTTATCGCGCGTCGTCATCATCAATGTTATCAACAGCTTAGCGACACAAAGCTGGCTGGTGGGTGGTTGGGTGGTTGGGTGGTTGGGGAGTGCTGTGGGTAGGGTAGGGGAGCAAAAAAACTTTGCAAGTGCGCCACGTTCCGCTGCAGTTGCTCCTGGTGCATCCTGCCTGCTGCCTGCTGCCAATCCTCTTTCCCCCGTTTTTCTGACGTCCTGTGGCATGCACCGCGTGCTTCCTCATCCTGTGCGCATCAATGATTTTGATCAGATTTACTGAAGCCGCCTGTCCATGTCCAGCAATGCCACCCGCCCACCCAGCGCCGCTGCAGCGGTGGATCTATTTTTGCATTTATAATGAAATTCATCGTTCATTTTTCATACTTGCACAAAGTGGAATTTTATTAGATTCCCCTTTTTTCTTTTTTTTTTTCTCCATTTTCTTTTTTTCCGCTACTTTTGCTTGCTTCTTCCGCCGTTTTGAGTATGCCTCGCTCTCTGATTTTGTTTCTGCGTAGCTGCATGGCATTAATGCGGTTTGGCTGGGCCATAGCGACCATATGGAGGAGCGACTGGCCACTGAACACATCCAGTAAAGGGGCACTTGGATATTTTCAATGAAATTAAATTCAAATGAGAACAAAAAAAAACAAACAAATTATATGTACAATCTAATAGCTAAAAGTGCATTCCAATTTAATTAACGATGGCTGTGCGGCAACATATTGACATCAATAAAGGTAATTGATGCAGAAAAAAATTCCAAATTAGTTGAAAAACTCGCAAAAAAAAGAATTAAATGAATAAAATAAATAATCCAATTGCTAGAATGTCAGAGTATATTAAATATGCTTGTGTGACTCTAATAGGTATAATTTAAAGAATGTATATTATATTTTTTTGTGCGATAAGGCCAAGGGGAGCTGAAATTAAATACCGACAAACCCGACATAATCTATTTGTAGTGCGCTGAAAAGTATACGAGCATTCCTGCTCTTAATAACTGGAAAAGTCCCCATTTCACAGTGCGTGGCTTCATTTATTATGCATATTTTCCACACAATTTGTCACTGCTGCTGTAACGTGGGTGTGCGGGGGGAGTAAACTATTTGGAAAACAAACGCAACGCAACGCAACACAACGCAACGCACCAACACAACTCAGTGAATTTTCTATTAAATAAACTGTCAGTCATTGACGTTGGCGTGTCCCACGCCTCAAGCGCCAATGCGAAAGTCACACACGATGATGTTTCAAATAATTGCACACACGGCCCGAACTCCTCTCTGCTCTTTCCGGCTAGAGGGAAAAATATTAACAGCATTTTTAGCGAGAGGCACGCAGAAACAAAGGATAAGAATAGCAGCTCCTTTCGCATATTATTTGCCAGTCTGCTGTATGGGTATGTGTCGCTGCTGTCTGGGCCGTAATTGAATGCTACACGTAGAATATTAGAAAGAGGAAAAGGTTGAGTTCATTATGCGGTCACGAAACGGGAGCGTAGACAGAATTTCTATTAATCCTCGGTACAAAACTGACAATGAATGACAGAAAAATAAAAAAACTAAAACCTAGAACTAGTACGAAGAAATGGCAGAACAAATTTAAAAGTTCGCGCGCAGATTTGCTCACTGACAAAAGCTGATGCAGAATTGGGCGTGAAATTTCTCGTTTGAATTCGAATTTAACAGCGCAATTGCAACTGCTTGACTACGTTATCGCACAAAAATACCGATATGTCATCGATAACTATTGACAGATGGCGCATATAATGCCTATCCGCGACTATATCTTATTTTAGAACATGAAACAACAGAAAAATAGTGTCGAATTATTCAGAATTAAGAAATATATACAAATTCGACAGTCAAACAAATTCCCTTTAAATATATTGTTAGCATATTAAATACTTATCGATATATCAATATACATTTAACATCCCATCCCTACAGTGTACAGGAATAATAACAAAAATAAAATTATACAATCCTAATTCGAGGCAAAAGGCGTGTCCGTGTCGTGCTCTTTCTTGTCTAGGAGAGCAGCGGCGTTGATACCGCGATGGCTATGTTGACGCGCCTGACCAGCAGTGGGACCACAACCGTGGCTAAAGCTCCTGGCTCGCCGAAGGGTCTACAGCGTTTCCAAAACTACATCTCTGCATTCCTGTGGCCTGGGACACAACGACAGCAGCGCAAGTCGACGCAGCTGGACGCCATTGACTGTTTCACGAACGATTTGGTCAGCCGCAAGACCCAGAAATGGGAGGAGCTGCGTGACAGTCTGATTCACAAGCAATCGCCCGCCCTGGAGGCAGACGCCAATAGCAATGTGGCATCGGGAACAGCAGCGGCGGCTGGGGCAGCAACAGCTAACACCAGCTTCAGCCAGAACGTGGGGCTCATGTCCAAGGGCATGATGAGTGATCTGAAGGCCCTGCGCTCGCCCCAGCTGGGCCTGGACATTCGGTCACTGTCGCAGCCGCAGCTGGACAACCTTCTGATGGCCACTCTGGAGATCAAGAACAAGCTGGACTTTCTCTATTTGATCAGGCAGTGCATTCGTTGCAATCTGCTGCCGTCCAACGAGGTGTTCATCTCCTGCCTCAAGTATTTGAGCACGCAGCGCAAGCTGCAGCAACTGGAGGCCCTGGCAGATACCTGCCGCCTGCTCAAGCATCCGTTTGCCAACACCTATGCCGACCTGGCGCCCTTCAAGGCCATTGCCCTGTGGAACAATGGCAATGCGGATGTCGCTCTGATGACCCTGCATCGCGGCTACGGCGTCAGCATGACCACCGAGGAAGGACGCCGCATGATACGGACCGCCTTTCGCACAATAGCCGACGAGACGCTGGCCCAGAAGAGCGAGGCCGTGCTGGTGTCCCTCATGGACGTTGCCCGTGCCATTCATCGCGAGCACAAGGACATCTTTGTGGTGGCCTGTGTGTGGAAGCAATGCTTTGTGAGCGACTGGTTCTGTGACCAGAAATCAGCAGGCGAACTCCTGGAGCATTACAAGGAGCTGCAGGAGTTAGTGGAGCGACGGTAAGAACGCATAGACTTCCCTTAAGCTTGATCCAATCTCATTTTATTCGTCTGCAGGGCCAGTCCCCTGTGCTCTTCATTCCTGGGTCGGAACAATGTGGATGCAGTGCACCGACTGATTGAAGTTTACCTGCAGCACCAGCAGCGCTCTGCCTGCGCCAGTTGCCTGAGTTTGCTCTTCAACTATCAATGTAAGACAGCACACTCCTGCCCTGCGACTGCCACTGACTACGATTCATTTTAGATTTGCGCAAGGATCTGCGCGCCTGTGCCGAGATAGTCAAGTCCTGCAGCGAGCTGGATATGCCACTGAATGAGCTGCAGAACGAACAGTTCCTCAGCCTGTTCCTCGATCAAAGCGATCCCATTGACACGGCCAACGGGACGACAGCCGCCAAGTACAAGACACCAAAGTCCTTCCAGTACAAATTTTAGGCCCCATTCTGGCCGTCGTCGCCCCCATTTACAATTCTAGTTCGTATGGCCGTTGTCATCATAGATGTAGCACAAGTTGCAGCCCAAAGCAATATGCACGACACCCCACCCCACCCTCGTTCCCATAAAACAGAATGTAGCATCAGCAGCGTCTCTTTAATAAACGTTATTTAATGTCGAGTTCAAATGTCGCTGGCATCGGGCAAGTTTCCCTCCGGCAGCTGCACCGCCTGTACTCCCATGCACTCGTAGCAGCGCGAGATCAGATGGTTGCCACAACGATGCGCCTGACACTGCTGGCAACGCGTCCGCGCCTTTGTCTCCCTCTTGTCCTTGGAACAGGGCTTGCAGCGTCGGTGCTTGTCTCCATACCGACTGGACAGACTCACGCCCTTAGGCAGGGCGGCCTGCTCCAGACTGATTACGCCCACACCTTGTGACTTCCTAGCCTCCACGTTCACCTCGCTGAGCAGTCGCTGGGAGGATTGGCCCAGTATTTCGCAGATCTGAAGGCGCATTCCCAGCGTGGTCGTTGTGGAGCGTCTCTGAAGTCGCCTCTGTAGGCGCTGCTGGCTGAGAAAGAGACCCAGCTGCCGCTGAAAGTCGCGCTGCTCCATTTTGGCATCGCCTTTGAGTGAGAGTCGCAGGAGTACCCATGCATTGAAGGCAGCTGTGTTGAGAACGAGATGCAACAGGTTGAGGAATGTATTGGACTTCTTCTCCAGGGACGCGGGCGTTGCGAACTTGGTGCTGTACCTCTGCGACTGTTCATAGAACATGTCGCAAGTCTGATGGGTGAGTTGAAAGGCCTGGAACGGATCCACCTGCGAGCCGAGACCACAGCACAGCAGGGCTTTGTTTTCGTGTGGGATTAGCTTGGCAGATCTGTTGTAAACGATGCTCCCAGGTGTGTCGGGTGTGGGCCACAATGTGGGCCAGTCTGCGTCTGTATTCTCCATCAGGCCTATCGAGCTCAGCTGAGATTCCATTAGCTCCTGGCATTCGGATAGACTGAAGTAGCTGGATCCCAGAGTAACATTTCTCCCTGTGGTCTTGTAGTCGCAGATCAGCTTTTCCACTTCATTGCTAATGGACTGCCGCTGGGTGGTGGCCGAGGCATTGGCCATATACAAGGTCTTGGCATCGCAGCAGAGCGCCAGTCGCGCATTGGCCACGGGGCAGGGGACATCATCGACTGCCAGCCAGCCGCTGCAGCCGTAATATGTTCGGGAGTTGATTATCAACTTGTGCCAGAGCTTCTTGGCCTCCGACCAGCTGTTGGCTTCGCTAAGAACTTGCGATATGTACTCGAATCGTTGGAACGTCATGGCGGCACGAAATACGGAATGGCCCAGCTCCACGGTCCACAGCTCCTGCAGTGGCCCATTGAATTGGCCGTTTCTGAAGACCCCACACAGGTACGTCAGCCCGAGGTAGGAGCGCATCTCGACTACATCTATTTGACGCTGGTGCAGAGATTGGGCAGTTCGTTTGCGAAACTTTTCGTTGATATGCCGCAGCAGGAAACGTATCATTTCATCGTCGAACATCAGTATCCAGGATTCGACGGCATTGGCAACGGTGACGGCGGGTCCCTTGCCAAACGCCACTTGACCCGGCAAAGGGAGCTCCACCGCAGCTGGCTTTGCCGACCTCTCCGAAGCCCACCTCAGTCCACTGGCCGATTTAAAGTTGCAACCTTTGGTTGAGGGACGACCGCGTCCTCGTTTAACGCTGATTCGTGCCGACTCCTGAGGCTTCAGCGACATTGGGGCCGCCTGATCCTCGGTAAGCAGTACATCGCTCTCCTCAAAGCGCCATTGGAAAGGGTCTACAGCCGCTGAGACCTGCAGGGGATCCGAGTCCTCGGCGTTCCATTTCGGCGATGCGGCATCCGCATCAGGGAGTTGCTCCGACTCCTGCATTTCCACATCTTCATCTTCGTCGTCGCTGCACTTTATATTCGCCAACAACTTTTCGTCGAAAGCGTATTCCATTTTGCACTCAATTAATTTGAAACGTTTTCCAGCACTAAAATTTAGCAATGCCGCACTTTGTTTATGTGATAATGATGTTAAATTACACAAATTACTTCATTAAAATTAATGAGTATTTTTCGTATTCATTAAAGATGCATTTAGCAGCATTTAGGCAGCGTTTGGGTTGTTATAAAAAATCAAAACAAACCCTGACAGCGTTTGCCAACACCAACAGCTACAGTAATCATTCGTCTCCTCTCTCTTTCTCTTCGGCTGTATTCGGTTTTTGTTGCTGCCGCTGCTGCCAGTCTGCTGGCGTCGATGTCGAGGAGGTTAAACTTATTAAACTACTAAAAAAGTGCAATTAAATACAATTTGGCGATGTTTTCGCACCGCCGTTGAAGAGCAGAGTGATGCGCGCGTTGAGTTTGTCAAAATAATTCGGTTAAAAGTGTCAATTTGACATGTTATATGTCATGGTCGTGCCATCCGATACCAAATAGCCGTGACTATCGATACCATATTCGATTGGTAAAAACAACTATTTAAAATTGTTATTTTACGTTTCCAACACACAATGAAAATTAAACAGTCAAGTAGGCTGCAAGTGGGAATGCCGAGATTTTGGGCCAAAGTATGCCCTAACATTTGTGTCCTGTCAGAAGGCTGTGCATACAGCTAAAGTTAGTTTTACCGAACGGCCCGAGCTGTGAGCAGCACAAATATTTTTGTGAATCGCCAAGAACAAAATTCTTTTAAAATCTACCAATTTTCTATAAAAAGTTAAGCGCACAAATATAAATTTGAGTCGTATTTCGTGCATTTGGCCTTCTCGGACCTAAACTCAACATTTTCGGTGACGTTTCAGAGGGTTTTTTTCTTGTTGAACCTCGACAATGATTTCGCCAGATCATGAGGAGGTAAACCTGGTGCTGGATCACCAGGTGCGCAGGAACATACAGAACATGTACCAGGCGAACATGATGGATGGCCGAGGGGTGGCTGGTCGCGAACGCTTCGTGTCCGACTCGAGCATGGACAATGATTCGATGCCGCATGACCAGGAGTCGATGAATGCATTGGAAACCCTGTCTGCCGATGGCATCGTGGAGGAGGATCACGATCACACCTCGGACCAGATGGCGTCTGACAACAGAGAGCTGCAGAACTACCACGAGATGCTGGTGGACACCGACGACCACCACATCGACATCAACGGGTCGCTGCGCAAGCGCCGCGGCAACCTGCCGAAGCACTCGGTGAAGATTCTGAAGCGCTGGCTCTACGAGCACCGCTACAATGCCTATCCCAGCGATGCCGAGAAGTTCACGCTGGCCCAGGAGGCAAACCTGACGGTGCTGCAGGTCTGCAACTGGTTCATTAATGCGCGCCGGCGCATCCTGCCCGAGATGATACGCCGCGAGGGCAACGACCCGCTGCACTTCACCATTTCGCGGCGCGGCAAGAAGGTCAGCCCCAGCTCGTCCGGCAGCATGGGCATGCACCTACCGGGCGCCACCCAGACCTCTGAGGCGGGCAGTCCTTCCTCCGAAGTGGTAAGGAATTTCCCCCATGGAGAAGAGAGTGTCACTCATGCGTTGTATTTTTGCAGTTTGTGGGCGCCACCGAGGAAGTGGACGGTGCGGTCGAGGCGCACCAGGGAATCGCCAATGTGCTGACCAACTTCGACCAGTACGTGCGGACGCCGAACGGCCAGGTGGTCAAAATGGAGCCGGAATTCGACGAGAGCGTCATCTACAGGTACTGCCTCAGCCGTAGTCCCTTTCTGTCGTTGGTCGATCCTTCCACATTGACCCCACTCCCCCACCTACTCCCCAAGTTGGCAGCAGGCCGTTGCAAACAATCCCATGGGCTTCCAGAGTCTCCACTCCTCGCTGCAGGCAACCATTATAGATAAGATCCAGGCCTTTCAGATGCGCAAGGCTGCCGCGCTGGCCGCCAGCTCAAGCAACGTGTCCACCAGTCCCACCGGTGCCATAAAGCCATTCACCAGCACCTTTCGGCAGATGCCGCCAGAGTTTGAGGAGGAGAAAAAGCCAGGTCCGATTAGGCGCGGGCGTAAGCGAACGTCGACGGTGGCTAACAGAATGCCCCAGTCCGAGCAGGAAGAAGGCCAAGACATTGATCAGAAACCAAAGGATGTTAAACCCGTGAAGGCGGCCAAGAGAGGCAAAAAGATGGCCCCTAGGTACAGCGGGGCAGTTGCAAAGCATATTGGTGGACTTATATCTTAAGCCTGACACTTGGGCTCCAACATGGCTAACCATCCCCTTCTCATCCACAGATCCGAGGGCGAGGAGAGCGCTCAGGGGTACGAGTCGTGCGAGCAGAACAGCGAGGGTGAAGTCCGCTTCGAGACCTCCGACGACTGGCAGTCCGTGATGAAGTGAGTAGAGCCGCCGCCGCCGCCACTTTTGGAGGGTTCCTTCGACTTTACGTTCTTTCTTTTCCTATTGCAGAACCGTTTTCACCACGGAGGAGGTCGCCACCAGCAGCGGCGCCATTAAATCAACTACGGCCAATACTCCAGAGGCTGCCAACTGCAACCCCGTGACCGTACACCCGACCACTAAGCGTGAGCGTAAGTTTTAGCATTGCGTATCGGCCGACTGCGATCCAGACTAAACGGATTTCGTACCTTTTTAGCCAAGCCAAAGGTGGTGGTCACCAGGAACGAACTACATCCACTCGGGGCCGAGGCCACAGTGGTGACAAACAGCTCCAATCAAATGGAGAGGTCCTCGGACGAGATGTACACCAGCAACGAGGGCGACAACAGTCAGAGCCAGTCCACACCGCCACCACAGAGTAAGATCAGTGGAAATTTGTGCCACGTAAACAATCTAAATCCTCCGATTTCCGATTCCCTGCAGATCTAAGTCGAGAGAAGCGTGACAAGTACAAGTGTCTCTACTATCTGGTGGAGACTGCCATGGCAGTGCGTCACAACGATCCCGGCCAGGAGGAGGGCTTTGCCTATCTGCGCAATTAGAGCCCCACCACACCACGCACACAACACCACAACTTAGCCCGAAGAGTGTGCTGTACATACACGTTACGTTATATTATTTTGTTAGTATTCTTATTTAATGCAGTTCCTGCAACCAAATTGGCGAAGCTAATGTCTGGAGCACATCTCCAGAGCTACGGAAAAGGAATAGGATACACACACAAATGGTACAAATCATTAGATCAATTTTAACTAGCATCGCATCGCAAATTGCGGATGTCAATTAAAAAATGGAAAGATTAGAACTAATTATTTGCAATATAATATGAATTTCTGTTTAACATTAGAATTATGTTTATGTTAGTTATTAATAATTTCCAAATAAAACGAAAACCACCAGCCGACTCCATTGGTGCCATGCAAGAACGGTGCCTCATCATATTTGAATCGCGCGCGCTCTCTGAGCGTATTTTTCAGTATTTTTGTTATGTTTGGTATTTTCGTTAAACGAACAACAGGTATTGTTCGACTTTGCCCATACGGTCAGTCGCCGATTTTGTTTTTTGTTTTTTTTGCAAATAAAATGTTTGCCCCAAGCACTTTTTAATTGTTTAAAAGCCCAAGCCACAACGTGTGTGGGACGTGCAATAAATACTATATTTAATGGTACAGTACCTGCCAAGTGAACGACTGCAACCCAAGCAATAATAACCCACACGAAATAACAGTTACGCGCCGCAGAATCCGCTTCCAGACAGATTTTCCACACCCCACCATACCCACCGCTGGCGAACCGAACCCTTTCGATTCGATCTGTCGTCGTGTGCAGTTTGTGTAGGAATTACAACATGAACTAAGTTAAATTAAAGATGTAATAAGTGTAATATGTAATCTGGCTGCGGCACAGAAACCGACCGACGCACAGAGACACGCAAAGCAATAACCACCACAAGTGTGCTGCCACATATTCTTCCCTCCCCGCCACACATAGGCAGTGGCCGTGGCCACACCTGCACCTGCACCAGCACCAGCACCCTAGGATCCTCAACCCACCCACCCCCCACCATCCAACGAACCCTCCCTTTCTAGCGTCTAGCCCCCACGTTTTGGCCTGGCGACGGAAGAAATCAGGACATGCAAAGAGCATTCCAATCCGCAGTGTGGGTAAGTCTCTCCTCGCTACCGCCGTTTATGGGGAGAGGAGTCTGTTTATGTGTGTGTGTGTGTATGAGTGTGTTGTGCGGCAGGCAGGCAGGGGGCAGTACGTGTGTTGGCATCTTTTTGGCTATTTGCACTTTTACTTTCGGTTTTTGCGCTTTTCCATTGTTGCTGGCTGCGACAGTAGCTGTGGCTGGCCCACTTCTACATGCTCCGACACACGCCACTACACACTCCCATTATTGTTGCCATCTATCGGGGCTCCTATTTACGGCAGTAGTCCGCATCCCCTCTGTCGATCCCCTGCGGACGACAGTTTGCGGCCACCAAGCTTCTGGTTGCTGGTTAGCGGAAGCGATATATGATTAAAACAATGATTTGTGCTCAAAATACATACATATGTACATATGTATGTATGTATGTGTATATTTGTAAGTTATTTAATTTTGGGCTTATCAGCCAAACGCTTGGGAAGGCAGCAAAAAATTCATTCGAAATGCTCTTATCGTTGAAGCTGTTCATTAAAATCCACTGAAACAACAGTCGCAACCAATTCCAGACATTTGCCTCATCATTTCTATGAAATTTATTATCTGAAACCATCTGTGAAACTCTGTGTACAATGTACATCTGTTTCAATTGTTTATAAGAATCCATTTTGAAACATTTTCCACCTTTTTTTTTTACTGCTCATATACTATATCCTAATGCCAATTGACTTTACTTCATTTGCCTGGCCATTATAGCATTTACCATCTTCGGCGATTGTCTTACCCCAATAAGTCGGGCTGATATTTTTATCCCAATTTTTAGGTCATACCAATTGGCATAGTCGATTGGAGTCTATTTTTAAGCACGTGCCAGCAGCCTCCCAGCCACAATGAAGATACTTTTGAGGCTGATGATGATGACACACTCCTACAATAAGTAGTTCGAGTGCTTTTGGCAGGGGTAGCCAACATTTTAAGCGACAATTTGCTGTAATTATAAATGTGAGAGAGGAAGACCAATTGTGGTGGAGGCATGTGCTTGTGTTCACACCAAACGACGACGACGACGACAACGACACCTGCCCCCAATCCACATCGGTCGCCGCTGCCTGGTGCCTGACCCCCCTCTGTGTGTGCACTCTCTCACTCTCTCTCTCTCTCTTTGGTTTTATTAATAAATCGAAGCAGGCGGACGAGTGCTGCTCAGCCAAGGGTCAAACGGCGTTGCGCAGTTTGTGGCATTCCAACCCACTCGGGCAGGCAGAGGCACAGGCACCGGCACCCAGCCACCCACCATGCCTCGTGCTCGAACCCCATGCTCCATGCCCATGCCGTCATTCTGTTCTGTTCTGTTCTGCTCGGTTCAGGTCTCATTTTCAGTTCCCTTCTATTCAGCTCTCGTGCGCTCTATTTTGTTTGGCCTGCACACATGCACATTATCTGGCGTCTGGCGCTCTCTTTTCTGTCTTTTTTGATACCCCCCTCTAGCGGACTAGCAGACGGGCATTGTGGTTTTGTAATGAGCGTTGACACTGCAGATTGCACATAAATTATGTGTAATATTTATCAGCATCAACAGCAGACTGAAGGCAGCTCTCGAATTTCCGCATAATTATAGCTTATAATTTGGTAACTGTATTTGACGGAGCTGTCATAGAACTGAACGATCTGATGATCGCTACACAGAATCGATAAATATTTTATTGGAAATCCTAAACGTTCTTCTAGGGTATTTAAAGCTTCGTTGCCAATGCTTAGACCTGTATTTGCTTTTTTGCTGCTGCTGCGGTGCGGCTGCCACTGCCACTCTGCTGCTGTGCCTCAACTTGTTGTGCCACTAACGTAGCGCATCCACATTCAGTTTGCAATTATCAACAAAGCGCGCGCCTTCTCCCCGGCTGAATCGTACACCCGTATTGCCAACCGCAAGGAACTCTCATTGGCATGGCCATAAATAATACGAAATTCGGTGTTTTTGGTTTATTGCCGCCACATCTCATGTGAAAATTTATCAAATTTTTTATACAGAAAAATGCTGCTGACACGACGGTATGTGGGTGAAGTGGGCTTCAGGTTGGATGCTATGCCAAGTGCTAAACGAAATCATGTCGGAAGTGAAATAAAACGAAAGAAACCAAAATCACAAGAGGATTATTAATATTTGATTGGGGTCGGAGTGCCTTAAAAATCACATGCAAAAATCCGCTTAGGCTTTTCCATCGATCCGTGCATAAGTACATCCCTCTATGTGGCTTTTCAACCTGCACCCTTGCACACACAGTTCCTCACTCTCCCCTCGTTGGCAATTCAAGGTTGCATAAAAGCGGGACCCCTGCATTATCCCCTTCCTCCCAGTGAAAAATGTGGAAAATGATGAGTGCATCTAACAAGTTTCTCGTTACCACGCAGACAAGAGAAAGAAGAGAAACAATAAGTCTTCTTCTGTCTAACCATCGGTTGACCACACACACACACCACACACCACACGGCAGCCAATGCGATTTGTTTTTGATACCCTTTCGAAGAGTAATACGACTGTGACTGCAACCTAAAATAGGTATACGAAATAGTCGTAGTTACCATCGAAGCGATTGGCCGAACAAATCACACTCGAATATCCCCCATAAAAGTGTAAATATTTTGAGTTAATTGGCTTCACTGCCAACTTTCATATGTAAGGGTATCCATCAGTCCCTGTGGCTTCTCTTTCTTCCCTTCAGTTTCTTTGCTGTCCTTTATGCAAATGATCCAGACAGAGTCGGGAGACATAAAGACGCGTTGTTTGTCCCGTTAGCCCATGGCTAAGTGCAGTGTGACCCGGTCGACTAAGAGGGGCACAGAGAGAGAGAGAGAGAAAAAGAGGTATAGCAGGTATTGTCTGTTCTGTTCTTTTACCGCTTGTTAGTCGCCGTCTTTGACGATTTGTTTGCATGTCATTCAACGCCCTGCTTTCGTTTTTTTTTCGTTTTCACTTCGCTTTCATTTTACTTTCTAGGGGGCGGTGGAGGGGCACGGAGGCATGGGTATATAATACAAAATCAATTGGATTGCGTTTGACGATGCAAAACACAAAAGATAATACTATTTGAATCGTACTTATTAGGGTTAAGATCGCCGATGGTGGCCCTTTCCACAAGATTGTTTTTTTTTTTTTTCTTTTTTTTTTATTAATATTCATTCGCCTGAAACGAACATTTACAGGGATATGCATAAGGGCTTAAAACTAGAAATTAGGAATAGATATATATTTTCTTTATATGTAATTTCGTAGCTTACAACGAGTGGGAGAGATCTGGGGGGGAACGTAAGCGTAACGATATGTTCCTAGCAGAGATCCAAAGAGATCATCAAGTTGAGGTGCGTGTGGATCTGTGAATCTGAATACAATTGATCTTGTAGGGACGTTCTATCTCAGATAGAGGAAAATAATGTTCCAAAATTAGTATTATAATCGATGAGATAAACAATAACCATAACGAATCTTACTCATTCTGTGAGATCAGTGAGACCTGATTAACAATTCAACTAAGGGAACTACTAAATGATTAACTATGTAATTAATTAAAGGAACTACAAACGGATTAACTATGAAATTAAATAAAGGAACTACAAACGGATTACCTAGTGCGTTGAGTGAACCAAACAAAACCAAACAGCTTCCCATTGCTGTCGTCCAAAAGAGAGTGCCATCTTATTCCATAATTAAAGCACATTTGTGATCTAGGTATCGATAGGTTATGTGTAGCCAACACAAGGGATGATCTGCCAGGGAATCCTCGTACAGCGCCTACACATAGCCACTGGACTCCAGCTTCAGGGCTCCCTCGTACGTGGGCAGACCCGATCTGTCAATGATTTTGCTCATGTCCAAGCTGATGAAGCCGTTCTCATTGATGCTGCTCAAATCCTGATTATGCTCCTGGCTGCCACTCGCCGGCTCCTCCTCCGCGTTGCCAACCGATGCCGTGGCTGCCACCGATGCGTTGTCATTTTCATCGTTGACAGCGGAGATGGTTGTGGTGGCTGTCTCGTTGATTGCTTCCTGTGTTGCGGGTTGGACATTTCCATTTGCATCATCTGGTTGCAGGGCTTCGCCAATCATGTGGTTGCCGTTTCCATCCTCGTTGTCGCAGCTGTTGGTGCAGGGGCAGGGGCATGTTGCCGGCTCAGCACTTTCCATTACCCCATTCTCGTTGGCATCCTCTGCTGACACCTCTCTGCTCCTCATAGAGCCCATATTTACGCCGCTTTCCACGGACAGCTCACAGGGGCTGACCTCATCTTCCGGGTCCGCTTCAGCCTCCGTCTCGTAGCGGAACTTGCCGCACAGCGGACAGCCACGTCGGTAGTGACTGTGCTGGTGGCTCTGCTGAAGGTAGCGTCGCCCCAAGGTGTTCAGCCCGAAGCTCTGCTGACCGCCGTGCTTCCTGCCCTGCAGGGCCAGCGGCACCGCTGGGGGCAGCGTCATTGGTGGTGGTGGCGGTGGCTGCATTGTTTCCATTTCCAGGCAATTGCCGCGTCGGGCGGCAACCGCAGCCGCACCTGCATTCCACATGTGCTCCATTTCCGTGGCATTCCACATGCTCTCCACCTCGGCCCGCTGCAGGGAGCAGCAGGATTGGGCGTTCAGGGCCAGCTGCAGTTGCTTGTTGATCACGGCCCCACCTCCTGCTGCAGCTGCAGCTGCTGCGGCTGTTCCTCTGATTCCTCCTGATCCACTGGCCATGGCATCCACACTGCCATCGGGCGTGCCACGACTGCAGCCGCCCACTGCCCCCTGGTGGTGGTGGTGGTTGGTGATGTCCAGCGAGGATCGATAGCCGGGCGGTGGCGACACCCGCTGCATCAGGATCTGCTGCTGCTGCAGCTGGAGCTGCTCCAACTGCTGCTGGTGCTGCTGCTGTTGCTGCAGCAATTGTTGCTCGTGCAGCACCACCGCATCGTACGAGGGCGGCGGCTCGTGGTGCAGCGTCGGCATAACCGAGAGTCCGTCCGTGGAGTCGCCCAAGAATAGTCCAGATGTCTCGTAGCACTGCAATGCAAAATAGGAAGGGGTTATTCATGATGGAATATCCTCAAATGCAGTGGAGGAGCTCGGATCTCTCTGCCAGAATCCACTCCGTTAATGGAAATACTACTGAAATTTACGCGATCAAATAAAAAAGAGTTAAAATTGCACACATCATAAATTTATTCTTCTCTACAGCTCCATTCGCCCTTGCACCCCATCCCACTCTCCCGCTGCCCAGCAATTTCGCTGCCTTCTCTAGCACTTGCTATCGCAATTCCAATCCCTCCTCCGCTGCAGTGGGAGAACTGTCTACAGTTGACATTTTTGCGGCAGGACAGGCTAACGTTGATTTACGCTGAGCCGCCTTCTGGCGCCGTTCTTCTTTCGGGCCATCTCCCAGTGGGCCAACAAACCACAATGAACTGACGGATGCCAGTGTATGGTGTACATGGGTGGGTGTTGGTGGTGGTGACAGTGGCAGTGGGTTCTCGTTGCTTGTAACTTAATAAAGCCCATGGCCAAGTGAGTGCGGCCTCTAATGGCGGCTTCCAAGTGCCGTGCCGTGCCGTGCCGACGCCGCCCCTCCCCCTTTGTGTCACTTGCAAGCGGCGCGCTTGCCAGCGGTGGCAGCAGCATAAACCAATTGTCGCGCCCTTTTTCTGCTGTGGTCAAGTCACTTTGTTGTTGCTGTTGCTGCTGTTGCTGCTGCTGCTGTGGCACCTGTTAAATGTGCCGCATAAATATCCATTACCCCTCACTTCTACTCCTACTATCTTTTCAGGCTGCCTCACACTCTCTGTCTCCCTTTATCCCGTGTCTTTCTGTCTTACTTTGAAACTGTCGCCTTGAAATGTTGGCTTAAACTTGAAAGAGGGCCACTGGCAGTGGGGGTGGGTGTGGGTCTGCAAGTCTACCTCCCCACGAATGTCTAGCAGATTCCATGTGGCCATACTAATTTATTAATACATTGGCCAATTGGAAAATCGTGCACTGATTGTGATTCGTGGTTCTACGGCAATTAGGATTTGACATTTAAACTGGAGAGTCATTAAATCAATGAATAGCAGATTAGCCAATTGTGGGGGAATATCTGATGATGCCAGGGGAACTATTTTAACCTAATCAAATATAGATCAGTGTCTAAAGGAAACAGGCGATGAAAATATCATCCAAAAGAGAAACGAAGAATACCACAGCTCTTTTCATTCGAAGGGAACTGCCCGCCAGAGTCGGAAAATATTTCAAGCAATTATCAAGCTATAACTAACCCCACAACAACCGACTTCTGCCCCACACCCATTCCAATCATATTTCTCTGCACTTGTATTTCTTTAATTAAATTGTTGCACAATTATGGACCTGCAACATTCCATTGCATTGCAAAATCATTTCCCACTGGAGAAGTGCCTTTGATATTGTAACCTTTTGCCCGAAGCCCTTGAGGGTGAAAGGTGGGGCAGTGGTGCAGTTGGAAACTCACCTGCTCGACGCTATAGATTTCCATATTGGGATCCGTCTCCAGCCATTGATGCTGCTGCTGCCTATAGGCGGCCTCCGTGCGCTTTTTGATGTTGCGGTGGCAACAATAGCAGACGACGCATAATATGGTCGTCACCAGGGAGAGCATGGCCCTGCAACAACAACAACAACAACAGAAACATGAAAATACAAATGCAATGTTATTCCATGTGCCACAGGACACAGATACAGGATATGGCCACAATATTAATACATGTATACATATGTAGACATCTGTTTGTGTGTGGAGGAATGAAAGGGAACGGGAATGGAATGGAATTGAATTGATTACCACAATAGATGATGGCCATAATAATGATAATATTATTACAATTTTTGGACATCTATTAATTCTGTTGGACAAATTGCACAAATACTCGTACTCATTGTGTCTGAGTCTGTGTGTGTGTGTGTGTCCTTTTGGGGAGCCCTCTGCTTGCATATTGATAACATAAATTCCTTAAACAAATTATTTGTGTCCTCTGCCACATCTAACCTAATGGATATTCCCCATTGTGTTGTGTCATTCCATTGTAGTTTTAATTAGAATAATGCAGTTATTGTAGTTTGCTATTGTAGCCTTGGCTTTGGGCCTTATAGCTGTGGGCTGTGGGCTCAGTGCTCTGTTATTTGTGTGTGCAACGATTAAAGTTAATTTTCTCCTTGCAACAATGAAAGGATGTCCCTTGCAACATTCTCAAGAGTCAACCAACTGTTGACTTTTTTGTTTTGATTGGTTTTCGTAGTCCTAAAAGAGATGTAAGTTAATTGAAATTGATTTCATATCGTTATTGCACTCATCGTTTGGCAATTATCGCTTACTTAATGCTTTGGATTAAGCTTACAAAATATATAAGCCAATTAAACACTTTAAAATCATTGGATATTAGAAAATACCTGCATAAATGAATTATTAAATTAATTAAATTAATTGATTCTTATCTTACTCCAGCGAATTCAATGACTAGTTATGTATCGCAATCATTTTCAAAGATGCTTGAAGCATTTCCAGTTTTTACTTGCCTATTATGGGATATGCGTCAAGCCGTCATCTTCAATATAAGTACAAATAAATTCCATTATTATTCCAGTTTTTGATACCTGAACAACCCACCCTTCCCCGCCCATCTTTGATTTGAATTCTTTTCGCTTGTCGCTTTTCGATGGCCTGCAGCTGTGATAGTAATGGCCTGAATGCTTGACTTGATTTTACTATCCCGTTTATATAGTATTTCCTTGCCAATAAATTACCATTACCTCCCCTGCCGCGGAATCGTTGGAGGAGTATCATCTTCGTGATTGCCAGTTATCGAATTTCCCTTTCAGGCTCGCTTCTGAAGAGCTTATGCTGATTATATCCAGTGATTTCCCCCGGCCAAAGGTTCGCACAAATCTGTTACACAGGAGACAAGCCAATGACGTCACTTAATCCACTTTAGAATGCAACAATATGATGTGTCCCACTTGTCTGTGTGTGTGTGTGTGTGTGTGTGTGTCCGTCCAGTGTTTCGCTGGCTCATCCTCTATCTCCCACCCTGCTGCCTGTCTGCCTTTGAGCTGTTCATTTTCCTCGCTTCACGCAATTTCTCGCATGTCAACAGTTCATTAAGGGGCCGCCTTTTAGTCCATCCACTGTTTCAAAGGACGGGCGGATAGAGACAACGTTGAAGCATGTGGAGAACGCTGCGCAGAGCCTTCCCCCTTCTACTGATTTTGTTTTTTGTTTTGTTTTTATTCGAGCTATTTTCAATGAATCGGCCAAAGACAATCGATAAAAATGTAGTTAAAATTAAGTTTTCTGTCGTTTTGTGGCGCGCGTGATGTTTACAGACATCAAATATGCATATAACAGACATACCATAAAAGTCTGTTGACAATTTCTGGTTCTTGGTACTTTTCCTTTTTTGGTTAGCCCAATTGCTTGAAACAGAGCTCGTGTTGCACACCAAAAAGTGACTGAAGGATGCGCTGCTAGGGATGGGGTTTCCCCCCAAAAAAGCAGCACGAAAAGCGGATAAGCGCAATTACGAGTATAATTATAATTATGTCCAAAAATGGTGGAACATCTTGTGAGTGACATCTTCTTGCTCTTGCAGGCGCATAAAATGTTGATGTTTATTAATTTCCATCTCCGACTCATAAATCAAGCTTGTGGCATGATCTATGAGTTGTGCTGCAGTGGCATGGTGCCATTATCCATCTAAAAGAATGTGTCTACAATTACGGCAATTGCTGTAACCATTTAAATTTAATTTACGAGCAAATTTTTCATGGAAACTCTGAAGGATGTTGACTTTGATGCATGCCATGCCCCAAGAAGTATACTGTGGAATGTTTGATTAGCTCAAGGGATCCTGCATCCTCGAAGTTCGCCAACATTTCTGACAGAAATCACGAGTGGATGGAAGGGCGCATTAATATTTCGTAAATAGTGAGAGAAACTTTGCAATCTCTGATTTGTCAGACACTCTCCCGCATTTCCCCCGTGGCACAGACCTCACCTGCCCGTACCCTGTGATGTGATGCATTCCCCTCTCAATGATTATGGGGGGTGTGTGTATGTGAGTGTGAGGGGAATAATCTTCCTACATATATGTATGTACATATGCACGTAGGTGCATGTGACTTACCCGCCCAGCAGCAGATTCACATTGCCGTTGACAACATTTGCATATGTCTGGGGTCCGCCCGCTCCTGCTGCACCTCCTCCGCCCCCGACATTGCCTGCAGATCCGGAGACACCACGCTGATGATACAGACCCAAGCCGCTGCTATAGTAGGTGGTAAAGGACGATGAGGATGAGCTGGTGCCATGCTCCTGAGACTGCGACTGGGACTCCTCGCTGCTGCTGCTGCTGCTGCCTGGAGCGACGGATGATGGGGCAATGGTTGTTATGGACACCACTGTCGAGACCGTTGTACCGTTGTGCGGATTCTGTGGAGTGACCGCCGCGAGCAGCGTTGCATAACGCTTCAAAGACATTATTATTTCACTGGAATTCGATATAGACGCGAGGCGATTGCATAACGATTAGCTTTGAACACACATCACAAGGCCATTAGCACGCACACCTCCACGACACGGCACACGCACACGACACGACACGACACGGCAGGGCACACTCTCAGCGGGCGAGTGTTCTAGTGCTAGAGTGCTAGAGTGCTCTAGCCCTAACCTAAGCAAGGACAAGCACTGACTTGCAAGACCTAGCCCTCGCTCTGTTCAGCGCGCGCAACAACACTTGGACTAAAGTTCACAGTGAGAGCGAATGGAACAGCAACAGCCAGCAGCAGCAGTGCGATCGATGGCCAAGGCAACTGATAAGAAAACTCCGTTACTCCCCGTATTTGGCACTATGGCTGTGGGGCCCGTCGCGTCGCCGTGCGTCTGTGCAAATGCTTTGGTTGCGCTGCTGCAACTGGGGCCCGGCTTGAGTTTGACTTTGCTGGCTAGCTGCGAGTGTCAGTCAGTTTGGCTTTGCTTATCCTCTGCTCTCTGCTCCTCTGCCTTGGGCTTTGCTCGGTTGTTCGCTGTTGTGTGTGCGACGAAGTTGCCTAGGCAACCGAAGCGCGTCATCAGCCTTCGGCTCGGGCTTTGGTTTTCGCCTGCTTCGGCTTTGGCTCGCGCAATGCTTGTGCATCGGAGGGTAAGGCAGGCTAGCTCTTCGTCCAGACTGGTTTCTCTCTCCCACTAAATCTCTCTGAAACACTGCTACCAAAGAGAGGCTGCTAACTTGGACTGCCAAACCTTTTATTAATACACCTTGGGTTGTGGCTCCTTCTGTTACTGCTGCTGCTGCTGCTGTTGGTTTCTTTTGCCTTCTGTTTGCCTGTTACATGTTGCGTTGCCCATTTTTCTTTTGCTGCAGCTGTCCTGCTCTTTCTCTGCTTGTACTCATATGTGCAGGTGAGAGAGGGTAGAGGCCGACAGGAACAGAGTCAACTACAAAGGCCAAGCACAGCTATTTGTATTGAGCTTCCTTTTGTTATACCTCTCTTTCACTCTATCCCTCGCACTCTCTCTGTCTCTCTTCCGCTGTCTGTGAGTGATTGTGTGTGTGTGAGGTTCCTGCACGTTTCACATCAAATTGAGCGCCAAATGCTTTTGTACAATTCATATGGGGCTGTCATTATTGTTGCTGCTGCTGCTGCTGGTGCTGCTGCTGCTACTGTTGCTACTGTTGCTGTCGTTGTGGCAACCGTGCATGCCATTTGAACAACACTTGTCGCCAACTGACATTTTTCACGGCATGCGACCATAAATAATAATGCGACTCGAAAGACACACTGCCAGTCCCGCATATTATGGCCGGCAGCCAAAGTGGAACAAGTAGTTTATGCTCATAAAATCAGACAAATCAGACGGTCCAGAAATAAGAGCCATCCATCACCATCATTCAGTTTAAAATTTAAAATCGAATTTATTCTTCACTTCAAGTTTACACATCGTTAACGCATCGTAAGTAGCTAGATAAATGTGTGTCTGTATTTTCACACCCATCAGCCAATAGAATGATGCATCTGTTGCAAATTTACACTCACTTCAGTGCAAACAATGTTGAAATTTGAAATATTTGAAAAATATAATGTTCGCTCCCGGGGCGGGAGGCCTGCAAACAAATGTAGAAAATTTGCATTTTGGCCACGTTTAATGGCCTGGCCATATGCAATCATCATTATAATTGCCTGCCGGTGGCAACTAATTGAAATTCATGTGTAATTTGCGCAAATTTGCGTTTAATTTATTGCCCTGCACACACAGACACAGATGCCTAACATTTTTGAGTGCGAATGGAAGGTGTGCCCAATATTCGGTGGCGGCAGTGTGTCGCCCCAGTCGACAGCTGTACACAGTCGCAGGCGACGCGGGCGACGACTGCTTCAAGAACATATGTAAATAGTTGCACGCCATTTTTACCTTCTCATTCGCTCCTCTGCCATTCTTCTTTTCTCCGCTTTTTTCTGTTTCTGCTTTCTCTGTTTGCTTTGTGCTCTTTGTGCAAGTGTGACTGTGTGCCTGTGGTGGGGTGGGCCGCTTTTTTGACGACAGCTTTTGGGAAAGGTGGGTGGCGACGAGCGGGAAAGGCTAGTCGACAATCTTGAAATCCGTGCGACTATGGCGGCTTAGCAGTCACACGGCGTAACGGTCTCTATAGTTGTTGCCTACACCTCGAGTGTCGCGCGCGCCCTGCTCAAGAGCACGTCCCCGTCTTCGTCGCTGCAGTTCTTTTGTTGTTGTTGTTGCTGTTGCTGTTACTTTTGGCGGCCGTGAATGTCGCCAAAGTTGTTACAATTTTAGTTTTTCGCATCTCAATCTGTGCGCTGGCATAATTTTAGATTTGTGTGGAGGAAAATTTGTCAATTCAAGAGAAGACAGGAGACAGGAGGCAGGAGGCAGCAGGCGACAGGACAGCAGCTGAAAAGCTACGACACTTTTTGTTATTTGTATGTCACGCCGCCTTTCAACAGTTGGCAGCAGCAGCAGCAGCGGGCGTCGGCGGCGGCGGCTGTGTCAGGCGGAAACGTGACTCATTAGAGACGTGGATCCGTACACACACACACACACGCACACGCACACGGATGGGGCCGAGATGATGATGATGGATAGTTTTTGGCGCTTCTGGTCATTCAGTGGGCAACTGCGCACGCGCCAAGGGTAAGCCAGCCAAACCGAATTGAGGGGGATTCCCAGGGCAACGGCGAAGCCGCTGCAATGTATGCTACATTTTATACAAATATGTATTTTCGACAGCCACAATTAGTGTACATGTGTGCGTGCGTGTGGCGTATTTCTGTGGCAACTAATGAGGCTGTCACCGTTGAGCGCCAGCAATCCTTTCTTCATGCACCACACACTCCGCTCTCCCCCTCCGTAGCCACCGTTGCCCGTCTCTTTTTTAAGCATTAATTATGTACGCCTGTTGATTTATTATTCACAGCCTTCATGGTTAATGAGGGGCAGTGGGTAGGGGCGGCGGTTAGGTCAAGTCAAAGAATAACAACAACAGCACGTCCATTGCACTGGCCGTAGAGGGCCCGCAAGAACGTGGCTGCCAGAAAGCAGGGTAACAGGGCAACAAAACCCGAATCATGTCACATGTTCTGCCAGATTCCTTCTTCTGTTTTTTGTTTTTATAGCATATCACATGTGTGTGCATGTGTTGCATGTCCGGGGAAAGTATTTCATATTTTCACATGAAACCTTAAGCGTTCCGACCCCAACATCGATTGCCACAGTCGCACGCAAAGGTTACAGGTGTGGGGGCAGGCAGCCGGGGCGTGTGCACCGCCCTCGCCCCGAATCCGAGACGGTGCCAGGCACCAGTCAGCAGTCGCCGCTCACTGGTGGCAAGGTCCTGCCCTCGTTCCCTCGTCAATGGGAAACTTTAAAAACTCCATGGGGAAACTCTATAACCACCCCACGAAAATCCTGGAATCATAGAATATTGGGGTTTATGGGTCTCATACTCTTTGGTTAAGTAATTTGATTTGAAATCGATAGGGAAGCATTAAATGTGATATTATGGCTAGGGAAATAAATACATAGGGGTGTGTGGTTAGTGCCAAATGAGGTGGGGCACAGCGCAAGAGAGGCTGCCAGTTATAGTTAACAAGTAGCAAGTTCTACCTGCCACTTTATCTTCCGCTGCTCAGAGCCAACACCCCTTGTGTTGTAATTTCCAATCCCAAAAAAGAATCAAGCCATCTTTTCGAATTCAACAAAATACAAATAGATATATAAATTTCTAGTTTATGCATATGGAACCTTGTAAAGATGTCTGTTCTTCCACCACTTCAAAGCTGCGTGCAATGTATGTACATGCATGCATACATACATACATACATAAGTATAAGAACTTGTTTCATTTTGCCCCTGTTTTGGGGAAAGACAAACAATTCGCAGCTAAATGGCAGCATGTGGCAGGAAGGGCTCTCGCTTGGGGGATTTCCTTTGATTTTATCGCAAGTCAAGCCCCCGAGTCGCGAGCATTGATTAAAGTTCGAGGTGTCCTCGTTACTTGGGCGAAGTAGAGCAGACCGGAACGGAACGGATAGACACGCCCATTGTCCTGCCCCCGCTCACCCCCTCAAGCCCTTCATGTGGTTCCTTATTGTTTGGTTTAGTTCCTTGAACCACGTTCGTCGTCAGGTGATGATGTCAGTCGCTGGGTGAATGGATGGATGGATGGGGCACTTACGTGTGCTTGGGGTGCAATTATTAACCGGATATCCATCTCAATTACAGCCTACGTTATCTCTTTAAGATGTCACTGGCCGTGTCGCTGCGCCGTGCTCTGCTGGTGCTCCTCTCGGGCGCCATCTTCATCCTCACCGTGCTGTACTGGAACCAGGGAGTCAGCAAGACACAGACCTACGAGGCGTTGGAACGCCCCCGCAGCCACAAGGACGTCACTGCCTTTCCCATGTGAGTGTAAAATATTAATTAAGAAGATGGATCCTCGACTGGAACCCGTCATTCCTCCTCATTTCATGCAGACCCGTGGAGAAGTTTTGGACATACAAATGCGAGAATGACAGATGCATGCGGGTGAGCTATCATCCCGGGAAGCCCGGCAAGCGTGTCTCCTTCATCACCTGCTCCATGAGTTGCGGATACGTCAACATCTGGCCGGCACCGACCATTAAATCGCTGGTCAGCGCGCACACAACCAGCTTCTCCATGGAGATTGTCCAACTGGAAATGGACACGCCGCATCGAGAGGTGCGCAAGCAGCTGCAGCTGGCCTTTGACTGGTTCCTCAAGGATCTGCGCCAGATGCAAAGACTGGACTACGCTGCCAGTTCGTCTGAGACGGACGAAAGTGAATCCTCATCGTGGTCAGCGAAGAACGATGTGGTGGGTGCTGCCACATCTGGTGAGAAACGACCAGGTGTTCTGGAGAGCCTGCTGGTGAAGATCAGCGTGCAAAAGTCCGGAGATGTGAGCTTCGACCTGGACAACGACGAAACCTATCAGCTGTCCACAATCAGTAAGCGATGCAAAGATTCTTGGTCGATCTTAGCCATGTCTAACATCTTTTCTATTTGTTCCTTAGCGGAGGGCCATCGCCTGCTGGTGGAGATCACGGCAAACTCGTTCTTTGGGGCCCGCCACGGCCTGTCCACGCTGCAGCAGCTCATCTGGTTCGATGACGAGGATCACCTGCTGCACACGTACGTCAACAGCAAGGTGAAGGACGCACCGAAGTTCCGCTATCGCGGCCTGATGCTCGACACCTCGCGCCACTTCTTCTCGGTGGAGGCAATCAAGCGAACGATCGTGGGAATGGGTCTGTCCAAGCTGAACCGCTTCCACTGGCATCTGACGGATGCGCAGAGCTTTCCCTATATCTCGCGCAACTATCCGGAGCTGGCCGAGCACGGGGCGTACTCGGAGAGCGAGACGTACACGGAGCAGGATGTGCGCGATGTGGCAGACTTTGCCCGGATCCATGGGGTGCAGGTGATACCGGAGATCGATGCCCCCGCCCATGCTGGCAATGGCTGGGACTGGGGGCCCAAGCGGGGCATGGGCGAGCTGGCCGTGTGCATCAATCAGCAGCCCTGGAGCTTCTACTGCGGAGAGCCACCGTGCGGGCAGCTGAATCCGAAGAACAACCACACCTACCTCATACTGCAGCGCCTCTACGAGGAGCTGCTGCAGGCGACGGGGCCCACGGACCTCTTTCATCTGGGTGGCGATGAGGTGAATCTCGACTGCTGGGCCCAGTACTTCAACGACACGGATCTGCGAGGCTTGTGGTGCGATTTCATGCTGCAGGCAATGGCCAGGTAGGCGAGACCTCTTTACCCTCTCTTTACGCTGCCACATCTCTAGCATCCTTCATTCTGCACCCCACAGGCTGAAGCTGGCCAACAATGGAGTCGCCCCCAAGTATTTGGCCGTCTGGTCGAGCGCCCTGACCAACACCAAGTGTCTTCCAAACAGTCAATTCACGGTGCAGGTGTGGGGCGGCAGCACCTGGCAGGAGAACTACGACCTGCTAGACAATGGCTACAACGTGATCTTCTCGCACGTGGATGCCTGGTACTTGGACTGCGGCTTCGGCAGCTGGAGGAGCACGGGCGAGGCCGCCTGCTCCCCCTATCGCACCTGGCAGAACGTCTACAAGCACCGGCCCTGGGAGCGCATGCGACTCGACAAGAAGCGGCGCAAGCAGGTGAGTCTTAGCACTCAGCATTCCTCAATTGGGGTCTATACCATGCCAGCTAATCTGTAAATCCCTTTCAGGTATTGGGCGGCGAGGCCTGCCTGTGGACGGAGCAGGTGGACGAGAATCAGCTGGACAATCGGCTGTGGCCCCGTGCCGCTGCCCTGGGCGAGCGCCTCTGGTCGGATCCCAGCGACGATCATGATCTGGATATTATGGCCCCGGAGGTGTTTCGCCGCATCTCGCTGTTCCGCACGCGCCTCGTCGAGCTGGGCATCAAGGCGGAGGCCCTGTTCCCCAAATATTGTGCCCAGAATCCGGGCGAATGCATTTGATACTACCTTTAAGAAGAGTAAAACCCAATCCAAACTCCCGATCCCCCCCGATCACTCGATACTCCCGACATGTGCGTTAGTTAGTTTATAGTGTAATTGTTATTTTATATATGAAAGGCAGAGGGAAGGCTACGAAACACCAAAGCTTCGCAGAAGTCTTGCGGTGCAGTTTGCGGAGTAGCAGGAAGCAGGAAGCGACTGTATGAGAAATGGTTTCTGGCATCAACCATGACAACTCGAATTTCTTTTCGATAGAAAACACACACCCCTATACACTCAACACCCACACCCACACACACACACACACATACTTAGTACAATTCAAATCGAATTATAGCGCACACATTTATATAGACAGACATAGAATCGGATACAGGCAGACACGGCCGATATAGGGAATTAAGTTGAAGATAACGATTACCATTAAGCGTTCATAGTTTTTAATTGTAGATTTCATACGCATTAATACACACACACACACACACACACAAACGCAAACACCCACATACAGACAGACATAGGCCTAAATTGAACAGATATATAGCCTTATATGTAGAGGAGTATTAGAACCACATGAATGAAAAATGAAAAAAAAACTATTTTGATATTTTGAACAAGCTTTATTCGCAGAACATTAATTATAATGTTTTAGTTGACAGCAAAATGATATTTTCCCCCCTCCCCCACCACTTGTTTCTTTGTTTATTTTCCATTTAATTTAGTTTGCTCCTTTTGTTTTACTCTTAAGTTTTAATTAGATTTAAATTAGATTTTCAGTGATATAAACAATGTGACCTTAAGAAAAAAAAACTAAAAGATACATAACAAGCAAAAAGAAAAATCAAACTAAAAACAAAATGCTAAAACGCAAGAAACATAGAATTTAAAAAAAAAAAAGCAAAACAAAACTTAAACATTAACAATTAATTGTTACGACAAACCTTTTTGCACGCATTGGCACATAATTGATAAACCTAGAGAATTAGTAGCTAATTTTATAACGTATACTAAAATGGGTAATTTGGAGGCACCTTCACAGTGTTTGTGTTTTGTGTTTTGTTTTGTTTTGTTTTCTTTACGCTATTACTACATTCGGAATGATTGATGCACGTTAAATTCCCCATGTTAGCAACATGTTTTCGTACTTAAGATAGACTTTTGGCATCGGCGCATCATGGCACTCGAATGTGAATCATGAAACTACTTTAGTTTAACCTTACCTTTTGCTGTAACTTCAAGTCACGTTCGAAAATAAACTAAAAGTCCAAGTAAAGCTGATGCCTTGATTTGTATATGCTTTCCTTTTCATATGGAAGCAGCCTTGGAGACTGCTATTCGGCTGCTGTAAGCTCCATCGAATCCATAGCCAATCCCCAATGGCAGGCAATGGTGGGAAACGGTCTGGAAGAGCAGCTGCCAACAGATGAAACCCTGAAACCAATTGAATTGAAACCAGGCGTTCTTCAAGGAAACCAAAAACTCGGGCTTCATACATAACATGTAACATTGTAGTTCCTAAACAAAATCGGTGATATTGATGCTGTGGTATTGCTCCTGTGTGGCCAGGCGAGTATGCGGCGTGGGACGCAGGCAGATCACACACTCCTCGGTGCTGAAAGTTGGGATTCAAAGAGGAAGGCATGCGGATCGATGAATTTCGGGATTTCTAATTATTTATATACAAAAAATAATACTTTAATTTGTGCTCTTAACGGGTACGCATACATGTATATCATGCAATACTTATGGACAATAGAGTAGGATATTTTGAATGGCGCTAACATGTACAACTAATTGTAGGGTAGGAGCAGATCTCTGTATCGTATGCATAGATCGGTGTGTGGGTGTGTTTGTGGTTTGTTTGTGTGGTGGTGGTGTTGGTGTTGGATCGATCATTCATAGTGTCCGGTGGGCACGGGACTTGTTGAGGTCAGTCTATAAGAAAACGATAAACAGAACAGGAAAACCGAAATCAGGAATGATAAAGAACTAAAGAACAGTAGTACGTAGTACGTAGGGCATACTCTGGCATAGCCCTGCAGATACTCTACTATAAACGATGCTCTGCAAGGCTTATGGATAGATATTTATGTATCTACATGTAGTACGGCATGTGTGTTAGCAGATTAAACGAGCGTTGGGATTAATTAAACAGAAGATAGAGTAAGGAGTAGGGAGAAAGGAGAAAGGAGCCTCTACATGAGCATTGCGTATACGCACCGTAGACTTTCGGTTCGCGATCTCTGCGAGTAGTCTTTGGAGGCGCGATGCCTGGAATGGAAATTAATTGGTTAAATGACAACAACGATGACAACAGTTACAGCAACAACTACAAAATAGAAGCAGCCACATCAACTATATGCTTATGTACCATATGTACATATTTATATGTATATGGTGTCCATGTGTGAAGCCCAAGTGGATAGATATGTGCGAGAGTATATGTATGTAGTAGACCGACAATACCAATGCGTTAGAATACCAAATGTGAGTGCAACACTGCGGCTATAGCATCAGCATCTGCTATACATATGTATGTTGAGCCCAACACCCACCTGCGGTTCTTGATGGAGCTACTCCGATGGATATTCCGACTCTCGCGCCAGCGTACGAAGCGATGCCTCAGCGTCTGGCGCACCTCCGAATTGAGGAAGCAGTAGAAGAGCGCCACAAAGAAGCCCTGTAGCAGAATTTAATCATGGATCATAAATTACTGGCATGATGCCATAAAGAAGTGATGGCGGCCATACCTGTGTGCTGATGAGAAATGCGCGTATGGCCTCGAAGAGATTGCGACTGATGCCCTGTTCGGGGCCAGTGAGCACCAGCAGATAGGTGATCCCAAAGAGTGGAATGAGCACCAGCAGTGCTTTTGATGCCTTATAATACTGCCGCGTCTCCAGGGTGTGTGCCGAACGCAGTTTGGTAATGAGCACCTCGAATGGTAAAGAAAAGAAGATTAATGGCAGTTCTTGGGAATCCTTGCGGATGGTACACTCACCCACATGATGCGTATGAGAAATACCAAATTAACAAACAGAGCCATCGAGGCTGGCCCCTTGAATATCCAGTCAATGTGAGATTCTCGCATCCAGCCACAGTCGATTTCCAGCTAAAGCCAGAGGAAGCATCCAGCATAGATAGATGATAGATGAATGGAATAGTTTGGACAGGGAATAGGTACAGGTACTCACCCCATTGAAATGATCATTCTCCAGATGGGGGGCAAATGCTTTGGCTATGGCCCAGGCCATAATGAATATGGCGGGACAGCCCCAGCCAATGAGGGCATAGATAATAAAGCTGATGTTATCGCTGGAGAATGTTTGCACCACCAGGGTGTACAAATAGAGGCCTGCAAAAGGGCAGGGTGACAGTTATATATGTATATATCACACTCGTAGATACAGAAACTTCCACTCGTGCAACTACTCACCTTCGACAAACATCCAGAAGAAGTTGGTCAAGTAAAAGTATTGCAGCATGATGACTAGCGTAATGCAACCCGCCTGACTAGACTCTGTGGTTATCTGAATGAATATAAATAGCTACAGCTACAGGTTAAGTGTAGTTATACGATATGGAATCTCCTTACCACTTGCAGGAACAGCGTGAGTATCCACAGCAGAGCGGAGGTGATGTATGTGAGGAAAAGATTCGCATGAATCGTGTTTCGCAGGCAGCGCAAATCTCTGCCAAAGATGGAACTTGGTTTAACGCTGGATCAGAGATCTGTATCTTGGTTTCGACTCACTTAAAGCTAAGGAATATGATGAGGGCCACCACCAAGGTGGCAAAACTGATGAAGTAACCACAGGCATAGATAATGGCCGGCAGATCCACGCTGGGCGAGAAATCAGGAACCATGGGCACAGAACCCGACTGCTGGTGGCACCGATCGTAGTCCGAATAGTGATCCCAGGTCCCATTCTCGAAGCAGTATCGCGTGGCATTCTCTGGAAATCTAATTGGAGTACGACTGTGGATTGCCTGTGCGCTCATGCCTCACCTGTGGTATCGTAGTGCACGCCCTTGAACTCCTCAAAGCAGGGCAGAACGGCCAGGGTGGCGGCTTTGGTGCGTGGCCAGCAGAGCACCGAATCGAATGCACTGGGACAGTGTAGGATCTGTCAGATACAGCAGAGGGTACAAATATGTATATTATTGAAGAGGAAACATCTGTGTGGGAAGTACACTCCAAACACAGTTTTGGGGTAAATATTTATGGCAGACATTGGATTTCCTTCATAGACGAACGTGACCTTTCCCTATAACAGACATTAAATATTCTGCAGTTTCTCCAGGGTATATGCAAATCTTTTCTATTTATCACACAACCTACATACATATGCATACAATATACTCGTATATACCCATACCACCGGCAATATCTAAACAAAAATGTTGCCTTACCAGCCACTGGGCACGGGTATCTATGCGGTTATTTATATATTTTCAATTGCGTGCTATAAATTTCCATAGGTATATAAAGATATATATATTATATTTAATATATAGGGTATACAGCACAACACAGTAAATGCTCTAAATGCAGAAATGATTCCCAATGAGCTCGAATGGGAGGGCGCTCTCATTTGATATTAAGTATATTTAGCGTATTAATTGATCTTATCAGTGGGACAGTACGAGCGTCTATATGACATCACGGGCTCCACATGTCCGGAAATTGAAAGCCCGTTAAGAATTGTCCAATTATATAGTATTTGGTGATAAGCTGGAATCTTTTTATTTATTTTTCTTTGGTTCGGGACTTAGCCACGCGACGACACACACGAGATGTCAACGACCAAAGCAAACAAACGGTGAATGGAGATTGATAAATATTATATTTCTATATATTTGTATTCGCAATTCTCACTTCTATTCATTGATTCATTCACTGATTCATTTAGCTTTGGAACTGTTGCTCTCCCACGGTTTTGTTTCCCCAATTGAAAGCGGGCAAAAATGCCGCATGCCGCCTCAAGTGGCTAGCAGAGGAATATATACTATATATATAAATAACATTCTATTCCATTTTGCCGGCAATCAAATGGTTTATAGGAAACCTATCATCAGCTACGAGCTACATTTGCACATGAAAATATTGGGAGTAGGCTAGAAACTGGTGGATTGGTAGACTGAAAGATGAAATCAACACATAAAGAATAGAGCACAACAAACAAATGAAAAGAAAGATCGGTTGAGTAGTGGATTGAAAAGCGTTTTGTTTCATTGATGAAGTGAAAGATATACAGGCAGCTGCTTTCCGGATGGATGGAGAAACGGATAAGAGGAAAGGTTTAATGATTGCCTGACAGTTTGCCAGATAAAAAGTCTCATATTTCTTGCCCTATAAATGGCCTTTTTTTAATTATATCTTAAACAATACTCGATTGACAGGACTGTATTGATTATAAGGGGGAACCCTAACCCACTATCCATGCCAACTCACCCGCTTTCCAGCTGCTGCTGCTGCCGTGGCTGTGGCCTCCAGTTCCTCCTCCTGCTGGCTCTGATGTTGGCATTGCTGCGTGCGATTGATGAGCAGCGCCCCACTGTGCGGCTGCTGGGCGCCAATTAGGGCGCTGGCCCTCTGCAGCATATCCAGCGAGAAGTTGGCTATCACGTTGGCCAGGTTCTCCGGCGAGGCGTCATCCAGGCTGTCCACCAGAGCCCGCAAATCGTCGTCAGCCATAGGCGGTGGGCGGACTCTTCGATGAGTTACGGTCTATTATCAGCAAATGAGAGCCAAACAATGTTGCAAGATGAGTGTTGTTCCTGGTGCGTATGTAGCTCCAGCCGCACCTCCAGCTGCTAATGATGCCGCTTGCGAGGCAATGCTCTCGTTTTACGAGTATTCGCACCTGCAGCTGAAACAGAAGCTGTCAGTGGCGGCGTCTCTGGTCCTGAACTCTGCTCCCACTCCCACTCCGATTCTGTTTTCTGTTCTTCTGTACTCTCCGCCGGGCGCTGCGCAATTAAATGCGAATCTGTTCAAATAAAGCGCCACAAGAGTGTGTAAAAATAAGGCAGCGTTCTTCGTACGATATCTTATTATCTGATAAAATAAAGAAGCGAACCGAAAAAATCACAAAAACCAGACCAAGGCGTACAATACATAGTACATAGAGGAGATATGCAATATATTATACACTCGCAGAAAATGAATAGGGAATAAATGGAAGTACATATACATATATATGTTTGCACAGAAGTATGTGGGCAGATCTTTAGGGTCAGTATTGGGGTTAGTGTGGTAAAGATAGCAGATTAAATTTATGACTGGAAAACGTTCGATCTAAAGGAGTTTCAAAATGTTTCCTCATATAAGTCTCATGTATAGCCACGTCTAAATATATGAATCTGTCAAGGAAGCTTCGCTCTTCGTGTACACAAATTATGATCATTAAAGCTGTTCAAATAATACACCGTGCACGCCGAAATCTCGTGACTAGATGCGAAAGTATGGGAGTGGAACTCAGATAAAAGGCATATAAGTTTATGGCCATCTTTATGGATGGCAGACCCAGAATAGCGTTGGGTAGGTAGGAAAGAAGAAAAAGAAGATCTGCACTGGGTACATGACAAAGCTGAATCCACACCAAGCGCTGCTGGGACGCCTATTTTAAGCCCTGCCCATCCTCAATAATTACAGGAAATTACTCGTAATGGAGATTGCTGGTTTGTGAACAATTGAACTGCGATTTGGCAGTGATTAAAAGATAGCTGCAACATAGGCATTACATTCAATTGATGGCGATTATTTGTTTGAATCGAAAATCGAATTTGTTTATGGGATTAAATATGGAGCGGCAGCAAGTCATAAATTGGGAATAAGTTAGGGAAGTCACAGAAAGAATACACTGTTATTTTCCACTAGTTATTCCCCCTTTCAATTGAAGCAATTACTAGTTTTATCTTCATTCAAGCATCTCCAATACTCTCACTGGCAACAACAGGATATCAAGCCACGCATAAACCACGCAGCACAGTCATCAACTTCTTTTTCACGTACAAAACCAAGCAGAATTAGAAGCAATTAAGATTGCCAAGGGACCAAATGGTAGTTTTATCTGTTAATTGAGATAAAAGATGCTGTGACAGATGTGTGTGTAACCAAGACTCATGTGCGTCTCTCACCTGGCAACGTGCTGTACACAGCACCCATGCCCCATGGGCAGCGAGATGGGGATAAGGATGAGGCTGCTGCCACAGTGATTAAAGCAACGAGTGTCAAGTTATTTATTAATGAACAAATACTCTTTGCTCTTTGCTCGCTCTCTGCATTCTCTCAGCCTCTCTCACAGAGCTACAATCTGCTGGAGGCCGTGGAGCTTTGTCAATGTCAAGCAGGGGGATAAACATGACACGGTGTGGGGGTGGGTGAGGGTTGAACTATGTGTGTCAAAGGATGTCATTGGCGCGGGGTGAGAGTGAATGTGCACTCACTGCTTAATTATACTGTATATTTAGTAGCCGCCATGCCAGCCAAAGTCTGCTTTGATCTGCGGATGGCAGGCATAAGGAGAGGCATGTGCTACACATTGCTGTCTGCCAGCCACTCCAACTATTCATACACTGTAGGCGGCACGCGTTGCGGCACCTCAGCCTCCGCCTGCGACCCTCTGCTTAGTAGATCAAATATTTGACTTCAATCCCCCTCCAGCCTCACGCCGAAATGGCCAAACATCTGGGGCAAAAGAGCAAAGGAGAGTCAGCTGCCCGCATCTTAAGAGACGGAGGAGAAGAAGAGAAGGCCTGCGATTTATTTATGAGGCTGCTGGCAAACAAGCGCAATATTTGGACGAGCGCGTGCGTGTTTGCCAGTCGCACAGGTTCTTGGTTATCATCCACTGGAGGGAGTGATCATCCATTTCATTTGATTTCATTTGTGGCCGTCTTTAATGCGCAACAATTAGCCACCAAAAATGGGCAAATAAACAAATGAAAGTGTTGATTTAATGTAAATTATTGACTTCAGCTTCAGTCAATGTTCATTCCAGATCGGTTGAGTGCAACAGAGCGTATGCGTTATATCTACTGACCCGCTGCGCCTTCGATGATTTACAAAGTGTCAAAACAAATTGAAATGAATGGCCATTGCCATTCGGCATGTGGTAACGAAAACGGACATCCAATCCCCCCAACATGCGCGCCCCATCACAGATAGCGAAAGACTTCCCCAAGCTGCAAGCCGCATTTCCACGGAATTTCGCCGAGGCTGCGTGTGCTATCGGGGGGCGTATCAATTAAGTGGCCATAAGCCAATGCCATATGCCAGTCGAAACGTAAAAAAATGATTATAGAAAAATAAGTAAATATAATAGAAAAATGGGCAGAGGGCAGAGGCAAGAGGAGGCAACTTTATGAATGAACGAGCGCAGGCAGCGAAGCGTGGCAGCAGCTTGAGGCAGCAGCAACGATGACGACAGCTGGCAGACGAATCAAATCGAATCGAATCGAATGACAAACGCAGTCAGGCGCGTATGATATCGATGTTATGGGTTTTCCGCCGGATAAACGCACACAAATAAAAGCGGAATTCCAACGGTCATCCGATGGGGGCATCTGCCGCCTGCCTGCCTCAATTCGCAGACAGTTTTGGTGGTCAAACAGAAAGTCGAAGCCAAGAAAACAAAAAAAAACACCCACAAACACAAACATACATACATATGTATGTACATACATATGTACAGGTGCATACGGAAAAGTTTACAAATTGAATAAAAATTGAAACAAAAATTAAAATAAAAAAATAAAAGTAAACAGCAGAAAGAAACAAAATGAAAAACTGAAGCTGGGGGACCATGGAGCAGCGGGAACTGTATCAAGCATACGCCTCGTTGCCAGACGACTTTACTTCATATGCTTACTAATTTTATTGCCTTACAACGGGCCTAAAAAATTCTCAAGAATTTCCTAAATTCTCTTTTTGAACCTCCTCAGGCGGGGCCGTCGCGGGCAGAGTCAGGGATTCTGGATTGGGGAAGTGTAAAGTTGTCTTGTGGCTGCGGGAAAAGTTGAATAAAGTAACCCAAGAATACGGAGTAAAACAACAATATTTTCCTTTTCATTTGCAATTTTCCGACAAGTTCTTCAAACAGAGACTGCGGGCATTTTAATGCCTGTTGCAGTGGGAGTGCCACGGCACACACACACGGCCCAAATAATGCCACCCACGCACACACAAAGAAAACACGGGTTGGGGTGGGGGGTTTAGGAGAAGATACATAAACATGAATGTAATTTCCAAAATTCATGAGTTTCATGTTTTTAAAGTTTGTTTTATCTGTTTTACGATGCGAAACGTATGCCAAATGCAGGAGCAGCAGCAGGAACAGGAGGTCTCCAGCAAAAGAGGGCCAGAGTGGGTGTAGACAATGGCTGCTGCAAGGGGATGCAAAGTGATGTTTCCACCAGGATAAGCAAAAGAGTTAGCAGTGGGTGGAGCATTGCTTCTGTTTTTTTTGCCCCATAAACGTGGACTTCTAATGATAATGGAGAACCCTCAATATTTATTAAGAAAATGCAATTAAATAACTGTCCATTGGAAAGCCCAGAGGGGGTATGGCTGCACCAGTATGGGGGTTAATGACTACATAAAAACTGCATTAAAGGTGAGAGCCGATCGAACGCAAACACACTAGAAACTTGCTGCAGGAGGGAGGAGTGCAGCACACTTGGAGTGCACTCGACAAATCCATTTGCCAATTGGCACAAACCCTGCCCCGCCGCTCTCTTACACCTTTCCCTGCCGCATGCCCTTGCCGCTGGTGCTTCTGCACCCTCTTCACACTCAAGTATAATTAAATTTTACTATTTACTCAACAATTCCAATTCATGCACAATTCTTAGCATTGTTTTTGTGCATTCGAACAGTGTCTATTTTTTGTATGTCTTGTTTATTTTTGTTTTCTGGATGCGGCATGGGGGGCAGCTGTCGGTGCCTATTGCATTAGTTTATCTTTAGTCAACAAAAACAACGAAACGCTGGGGTGGGCAGGGGTGGTGTTGGCTAAAATCTGGAATATGCATGAGATTTGCAGCACAAATATTGCAATTCTGTTCCCCTGCCGGAAGAGAATTAATTGCTAGAATAATCCCATTCAGAGACCCCTCCCTTTACAGGAAAAGGTAGTACATGTAGATAGTTCAGAGGTTACAGGATACTGGACCTTGACACGGACACGGACAAGGAGAGCGAGAGAGGAGAGAGAGAGCTCCCCTCGGGAGCCAACACTTTCGTTCTGTCCAGTCGTAAACATGCAAATGGAGCCAACATTTGCATTTGCGAGGAATACGAGAGTCTCTGATAAAATCCCCCTGAATGCAAATCCACACTGAAATGTTGTTTTCGCCATTTGCCGAGCTGGAAAATGGACGAATGGCTGGATGAACTGAGGGGCGGGGCAGGCATCTTTGGGTCTAATCAGACGTTTATTCTTCAATTTAAAGTCTATTTGCGGACTCGGCCATTGTCTGCTAATGGAGCAAGCTGCTAAGTGATCGACGCCTGCTCCAATCTGCTGGGTATGGATTCTTCGCGTGGATGTATGGCCATGGGGTTGGGGAGGGGCACTTGGTCGGCCCGTCGGTTGTTTGCTTGATTCGTTATGCCGTGGGTGAGGAATGGATCTTGTTTTTTGTTGTGTTTATTGTTGGTGTTGTTGCTCTACGCGGGGGGGTTAGGGTCAGGGTCTCACGCTATGCTTGTGGCTCAAAAACCAACTGTTAAATGACAAAATTAGCGCCTCTCCCTCGCACTCACATGTGGTTTTGATTTGAATTTTGATAGTTGAGCTTCTGTTCTTCTTTATATTTTTAGTTTTTTAAATTTTTTTTTTTGTAAAGCTTTAAATGTTTATCGCCTTTTTATCATTATCATTTATTTGTTTGCATTTCTTAACACACACGCGGAGACGACATTAGGGAATGACACATTCGAGAGTCAGGGAAAACCGTACAGCATGGGAGGAGAACACCTAGAGCATGTTTTGGTTCCTAATTAGTCGCCCGAATCGGAAATAACAAAACCAGTGACGAAAACAAAAAAAAGCCCGCGGCGCGTCTTTTCAGGTTTTGGGATGCTGCGGAGGCTGCGCTGCTCTGTTCTGTTCTGCTCTGCTCTGGGAGATAATCAAAGCGCCAACGAGATTACGATTACGGACTGTGACGATAATAGCGACTACCGACGACGACGACGACGACCACTTGCGGCCAATGGCGGCCAAAGACAGCGCCAAAGTGCGGCCAGAGTGAGAATGGAAGACAGAGCTTTCCCAACGCAAGCAAAGAAAAGCGAGAGAGCGACAGACACGAACAGACAAGACACTGGGCAGAGCAGAGGATACAACGTTGGCGGCCGGCCCACCCACAACAACTTGTGGCGCTATGTATGGCTGGAGAAGCTTTGCTCCCAGACAAGAGAGCGAGCTGCAAAAGCGTGAGCATGGTAGAACTATTAAAGGTGCGCTCATTCCGCTCTTCGGGGTGCCTAAACATGTCCCACAAGCTGCAGGCTAATGAGTTGTCCCTACCTGCTGTGGTTCTAGCATGAGCAAGAGGCGCTCAACGGCCGAGCGAGAGCAAAAAAGCTCCCACTGAGACCGGCATTTTGTGTGGCATTAGCATTCATATGACACATCGACACAGACAGTCGCGATTGCAGCAAAGCTATAACCTGTCAAATGCAATGGACAATCAAATTGGAATGGGCCGTTCAATGGGTTTTGTCCAATTTGCCAAGTACGTATTAATACATTTGATACCCTAGTAGATTACTGTGACAGCAAAGTGGGAGAGAGAGAGAGACTGGAATCTCTGTCGGATCGGAACACACAAATTTCTTTCACAGTTCTCTAATTAATTATCAAATAATCACGCAGTTTTATTTAATTTACAAATTTTACATGTCATCGCGGAGTCGAGCAACGCTCAACATTGTATTACTTTTAATTGATTTGAAAAGTTAAGCTGAAACCAAATTAGATGCTGCTGTCGGGCGCCACATTTCACACAGGGGGGGCGACTGCACTGCTGGCTGGGGGGGACACTTAAAATCCAACGCGAATTGACGTAAATTTCCAACGCACACATTGACACGCACATCGTCCCTATCATGACCGAGCACCGGGGGCAGGATGCCGCAGAAGAACTGCGCGTAGCTCAGGTGGAACAGCTGCGGTGCTCCGAATTCGCTCTCAAATACAAAGGGACGATATTTGAAGAGCTGCGAGTTGTGGTCCAGGCCGAAAAACGTATCGTAGGCTAGCTGGAGGCCATTGAGATCGGCCAGACGTTCCTTCAGCGACACGGCTGGCGTTTGGGCCGCACATTTGATGGCATTCTGGAAGGGCTTCGTCTCGCGAATCTGCAATCCCACTGGCGACTCATTGCCATCGGCATCGAAGAGGATGCCCTCCTGTTCGAAGGCGTGGCTCAGCTCGTGGGCCAGGACACCGCCCATCAAGCTGTACTGGAAAACCGGGTGCTGGCTGTGATTGAAGAGGGGCCACTGCATAAAGACCAACGGCACAGTGATCGTGTTCCGCTCGTTCTCGTAGAAGGGCGAGGTACGAGCCTTGACCACGTCATCGTTGACATAGTAGCGGCGCAGATCCAGTCGGGAGTGTGGCAGCCGGAGAGCCTCGTGCTGGAGTCGGGTGCGCAAGCTCAGGGCCTCGAGCACATTTGCCAGATGATGGGAGGCCGAGAAATTGGCACTTTCATAGTGGCTGTCATAGAAGTCAGGGGACGTCTCCTCTGGCAGTTGGCCCACTCTGAGCTTCATGGTCGACAGCTTTCTCCTCACATACGTCAGTTGGGCTGGACTTAGCTGCAGGCGATTGGCGTCCAGGTACTGGCCGAACATATCCTTCAGGCTATTGAAGATCTGCTGCAGCTGAATGGTGTCCACCCAGTTCCTGTTCTTGTACACATACCGATTGTACAGGTAGTTCATGCCCAGGGGGAGCAGGGCCCGCATGTGGTGAATGCATGTCTTGGGATTGCGCCTGGCCGGCTCCGACTGCCGCAGCAGAACGGTGAGACGCAAACGCAGATAGAGATTAATGGTGCCTCCACTGGTATTCCTCAAAAGCAGGCCAAGCTCCCGCAAGTAGTCCACATCGCTGACCTCGAAAAGCAGCCCGTTCAGATGCCCCGACAGCAGCTCATGGAAGTACACTTGCCAGTTGATCTGTGGTATTTTCTGCATGAGATCGGCCAGTGTCCAGGACTGAACCAGAGGCTCCTCTTGGCGGTGCTTGGCTTCCAGGTGCCGCAGCTGATCCACCAGCCTGGAGATTTCTACTTCGCTTCCAGAGTGATTGAGTTTGAGGAACTGCAGGGCTCGCCGCTCGCTGTAGTTGCTACTGGGAGCGGGCATCTTGAGCTGCACCACCGAACGCAGCGAATCGTTAATGGCCACATCTACGCGCTCGTCCAGGAAAACCCCATTCAATCCGTGCCTACGGAACCTGGCCGTTTCGAGCGCCCACTCGTTGGGCTCCAGCGAATGGAAATCTTCCAGCGGCCACTCCATCTGTGGATCCTTGGTGCAGGCATTGTAATAGGCTCGCATCTGGCCCAACAATCGAAGCGCTGGCCTATCATCCAACTGCACATCACTGTCCAAGAACTCCAGATCACTCTCCATGAACTCCACCATGGCCTGGGCGTACAGATCCTCCACCAGCTCAAAGTTATCCACATATTTGGTGCCGGCGCCCGCTGAGTAGTTGCCGCAGGCATAGTTCCAGAAGTTCGTGCAGGCATCTTGAGATCCATTCAGATTCTTGTGTATCTGCTGAGCCGTCAGCGTGTTTTGGTCCACGTCCGCTTGGATGGGAGACCCCCCCATTCCCAGGAGAAGGAATGAACACAGCAGCACGCGCCATTCCATGTTGTTTACTCGTTTGCCAGTGAAATGTGTGTGTTTGGAAGTTGAAGATTATCTCAACGCTCGACTGATCTCAGACAGCTTTATCTGCGGTGCTGTGGGGGTAACGCCCAGCTGCAGCTCCGGACTAGGGCTGCAAATGTAAATATCGGCAAGTAAAAGCTAAAGCTCAACGCCAGATCGATGCATGCTTGCAGTGGCAAATAAAACCCGCTTTCTGATTACATTAATCCGAGCTTAACGTTTATTGAATATGTTCGTTTAATTACAAGCAACGTTTTAGTTTTAGTACATAATCATCAATGCGTAGCTAAGAAATAGAAACAGTTCTCAGTATAAAACAGATAATCGTTTTGGGGCGTATCCAGAGACAGCCTCTGGCACCTACCCGCCCAACCATTTGCCTGGGCATCAGGCTTACCACTTAACCAACTACTTAACCGACTTGGATCTCGTTTTTTAACGTGTTCACTTCTTAAACTTTTGCTTGTTGCCTGCTCTCGGATTTGGATTGGCACCCGTCTTGGACTTCTTCAGCTGTCCAATCTGCTTGGACTTTTGCTTCAGGTTGTTTTGCCTTTTGATGGGTTTGCCCTCCAGCACGGGCACATCGTCAGCATCGATACGCGGGGCCTTGGCCAGTCTGGCGTTGGCTTTGGCGTTTGCTGCTGGCTTAGCTGTCTGCTGATTGGCTTGGCCCTTCTTGTCCTTTGGCTGGAACTTTTTCGCTTCGGGCTTGGGTGCAGCCGACTTTCCGGGAGATGCCTTACCATTGGACTGAGACGGAAATTTCTTACCGGCCTCCGATTTCAATGGTTTTCCCTTGCCATTGGTCTGCTCTGTCTTTCCGGCCTTTGGTGCACCGTTTGTCTCCTTCTTTTGGGACTTCTTCGGCGCACCGTTTGTGTCCTCCGGTTGCTCTGGCTTTGGTGTTTTGGCCACCTTGACAGGCTTCTCAAACACCTTGGCCACATATTTCTTTTTGTTTGCCTCGAGCTTCTTCTTCTTCAGATCCTGGTCAATGTCTGTGAGGCTTGGCTTGCCGGCCCGCTTTCCCAGCAGCTTGCGAGGAGCCTTCTCATCCGCATTTTCTTCTGCATCCTCAGCCGCCTCCTCAGCCACTGCTTCGGCTGTGGTCTCGCCCTCGATGGGTTCATCGAGCTGCTTCTCGTCCTCCTCCTGCTGCTCCTTGGTTATGGGTATCGTGTTGGAGAACTTCTTCAGCTTGGCCACGTAGAAGCCGTCCATGTTGTGGGTGTGTGGATAGTAGCGCTTGGTCAGATTCAAGCTGGGATGGAACCTATGCTGGCGGAACTTGGTGAAGCCCTCAACGCCAAAGTCCAGTCCTGTGGGTACCAGCTTAACGTTGCGCTTCTTCAGCGCATAGTCGATGACCCACTCGTTCTCCTCGGGCAGCACGGAGCAGGTGGAGTACACAATGATGCCACCTGTGGACGATTTGGCATCCACACAGTCGATGGCGGTGAGGAGAAGCTTGCGCTGTAGATTGTAGCAGCGTTGCACGTCCACATCCGATTTCGTGGTCTTCACACTGGGATCTTTGGACACGACACCGGTTCCAGTGCAGGGGGCATCCAGCAGGACACGATCGAACCCAGTCATTATTTTACGGAACTTGGTGCCGTCCTCGCAACTGACGACGGAATTGACAACGCCCAGACGATGGAAGTTGGCCACAACGGCCTTGATGCGATCCCTGTTGGAATCGTTGGCGAAGAGCACGCCAGAGTTCTTCATGGCGGCCGCTATGTGGGAGCCCTTGCCGCCCGGAGCCGAGCACATGTCCAGAATGCGTTCGTTCTCCTGCGGGGCCAGCGCCATCACCGGCAGCATCGAGGAGGCGCCCTGGATCATGTAATAACCACCCAAATACTCCGGAGTGGCACCCAGCGGCACCTGCGAGTTGAAGATGACCAAACCCTCTTTGGTCCACTTGCCCAGGGGATCCAGATTGACTCCACGATTGATCAGGGCGCCGGCCAGCTGCCGACGGCGTATTTTCAGCGTGTTCGTTCGGATTGTCAGCGGACGGGCCACCTGGAGGGAAGAATAAATTGGTTAAATTGGTTGGATGGAACCTTCTGCGGTGTGGTGGTGGTTGCTGACTTACCTCTGATGACTCTAGGTATTCCATGAGCTCGCTCAGCGGGAACATATCCATGAGCTTCTCCATTAGGAAATCATTGTAGCTGTAGTACAGGCAAAGATCCTGGCGCAGCCGATCGATGTACTCGCTGCGGGAACGATCTGCCTGACGGTATTTCTTAAAGTCGGACAGCACCAGGGTGATGTCCTTGATGCGCTGCTGCACGTCCTGCAAGGTGATGTCCTTCTCGGCCTCTTCCTCTTCGGTCGGCAGCTGAAACACATCCTGATGGTCCACTGTCATCTGCATTTCCTCCTCTGCCTCCTGGGCTTCTTTGGCCTCGCGTTTCTTCAGCTTTTTATTTGCGCGTTCAATGGGCAGCTTGTCATCGTCAGCATCATCACTCTCGTCGTCGTCATCATCACTACCACTGCCTGCTTGGGCGCCTTCATCGCCAGATATATCGAAGTCATCGTCAGAGTTGGCCTCATCATCATCGTCGTCGGACAGATCTGCCAGCTTGCCAACCTGAGCTTCGTCGTCGTCGTCGTCGGAAACGTCTTCACCATCCTGCTCTTCGGCCAATTCCGCGTCTGAGTCATCTTCCGCCTCCAGCTCAGCATCAGAGTCCTCCTCCAACTCCTCCTCTGAATCCGGCTCTGGCTGTGGCACCTTTTTCTGTTTCTGCTGCTTCTTTGGCTTTAGCCAATCGTCATTTTCATCTGTAAAGCCTTTTTGTGGTTTGCCCGCTGGCACAAGCTGTGGAACCTCCTCATCTGAGGATGCATCTTGGGGCTCCACCTCATCCTCGGGCTCAGGCTCGCTGTCGCTGTTGTATTTCTTTTGTCTTTGAGCCAGTTGCTTTTGCTGTCCCTTTGCTCGCTTCTCCTGTATCTTGGCCTTTTGCACGACCTTCTTCTGTTCCCGCTTGACGAAACGCTGCTTCTGCCGGTGGGACAGCTTTTTGTCCTCCTCTTCCTGGGGAGCTGCACCATACAATATTCAAGTAAGAAAATTGTTCAGTGCCGCATTTGATCTGAACTTACCAAAAGATTGCTTGCGGAATACGGGTGCTCCCTGTTTGCGCGCCTTGCGGCCAGGTCCCTTCTTCGGTTTCTCATCGAACTCAGCCTTGCGACCCATGCTTCTAACTAAATTTATTTAATTTTTGAGCAGAAGCTAAATAAAAACGTGAGCACTTTGATTTTGCTCCACGTGCGCCGCTCAAAAGACAGCGAGCGCTTTGCAACACTACAACAGAGGGAACCGACCTGTTGGTCAAAACCGCTAGAAGCCGCTGACAAGACTATTAACTATCAACAGTGTGATGTATTGATACAAAATAATGTTATCAATTAAATTGTTAATTACTCGTTCGGACTGTAAACAAATGTACTTAATCTGGCATTAGAATCTAGCGTTAATAGCCAGATTAAGAACACTGACGTCTCAGCTGTCTGCTAACAAGATCGTTCTCCAGCACTGTCCGGTAATTAGCAGTCGGTAATCGGGATGTTGGCTGAAAGAAAGCAAACAAATTGTGAAAATGACGAATATTGAAATTATTTGGCATAATTAGAGGATCTTGTGCACGCACCATGGACATTGCCGCCATTGAGCTGAGCGTGGAGGCGCTCATTGGCTCGTTGCTGGCTCTGGTCGTGCTCTTTGCCTTCTGTCGCAGTATTCTGGCCGAAGGTGGTATTGTCGTATTGTCGGGAAAATCACGCCACAGCTGGAAATCAATAAAAATAATCGAGCAGGTGCGTATACTCACTTGTTGCCAGCAGCAACACCCAATCACACTGATATTTTCTCCCCAGGCCTGCTTCTGTAATGTGTGCGAAATTTTGCTAACACCCTCGGCTGGACTCTTCTGCGACTGCTGCGGCCTTTGCACACATGCAACGCCGGTATGCCAGCGCCAGGCGGACAGGGGATATCGATGCAAAGACAAATGGTTGCGCAACGAGACCTCAGTGCGTCATTTATGGGTCCATGGCAATCTGCCGATGGGAATCAACTGCTCCAACTGTGGCGTCGAAGTGGATCATCATGCCAGCACTGATCCGGGACTGTATGGATGGCGCTGTGCCTGGTGCCAGCGCTGCTACCACGATGACTGCTACAAGGACATCGATGTCAAGGCCGAGTGTGACTTTGGGGAGTTCAAGGACATGATTTTCCCGCCCTACAGCTTTGTGGCCGCGCGCACTCGCGACTCGATGCGACTGCACCTGGCCAGTATAACGCCGCCCGATATAGAAAACTGGGAGCCGTTGATTGTGATAGCCAACACAAAGTCTGGCAGCAGTACGGGTGCGGATGTTTTGTCCCTGCTGCGTGGCTATCTGCATCCTATGCAGGTCATGGAGCTCGGCTCCCGCGGACCCCAGGACGCTCTGCAATGGGCTGCTAAGGCTAGTCCCCGCCCCTGTCGCATACTGGTGGCCGGCGGAGATGGGACCATTGGCTGGGTGATGAACACCATCTACGCTTTGAACATAAAGCCCCAGCCCTCGGTGGCCATCATGCCGCTGGGCACTGGCAACGATTTGTCGCGAGTGCTTGGCTGGGGAGCGGAGCCACCCACTGTTCTGGACCCCGTGCAGATCCTGCGCAACATTCGACGCGCCCGCTCCGTCAACCTGGATCGCTATGACCTGCAAATCGAGAAACTGCACTACCGCCTGCCCATTCAAAGACATCCCACAAAGACCATACACGTGTATAACTACTTCAGCGTGGGTGTGGACGCGTACATCACCTACAACTTCCACAAGACGCGCGAATCTCGTTTTTATCTGCTCAGCAGCCGCATTTTCAATAAGGTAGCTTTCAAAGAAGTGACCAGGTTCAAGAGATATCTCAACCCATCCTTTGCAGCTGCTGTACTTTACATTTGGCACGCAGCAGGTAATGCAACCGGGCTGCGAGCGCATTGAGGAAAAACTCACCTTGTACCTGGACAACAAACCGATCCAACTGCCGGAACTGCAGGCGCTGGTCTTTCTCAACATAGACTCCTGGGGCGCTGGCTGCAAGCTGTGCGAGCTGAGCAATTCCGATGGCAATGCACGAATCGTCAACTCCATATCCGACGGTATGATGGAAGTGTTTGGCATCGTCTCGTCCTTTCACATTGCCCAGCTGCAGTGCAAAATAAGCAAACCAGTGCGGATTGGCCAAGCCAAGCAGATTAGGGTAAGTTCCAAAGTCATGGCTCGGAGTTCTGTATTTGTATCATCCTTTGCTCTTAGTTGCAAGTAAAGGAAACCGTTCCGATGCAGACAGATGGAGAGCCCTGGATGCAGGGTCCGGCCGACATACGAATGCAGGCACGCAGCCAGGCTCGTGTCCTCAAGCTGGATCCAACATCCGCTTAATACTTGACCCCTCGTCGACTAATCCACAATGTGCCAGTCACCATAATCTCTTCTAATGTACTTATTTACTTATAATGAATGTACTGGACTCGAAGCAGCATTCTACATAGTTAACTTTCGAATTTGTTTTAAGTTAAAAAGTTGCAATTGCATTTGAAGGCGCTCCCCGTATTTGGTGAAGTCCAATGCTAGTCCCACAATAAACAGGAATCGCGTCTGAAAGAATTCCACTTTATTCTTGATTAATAATGCTTTGAATATATTTAAATGTTGACTGGTGCCATGCCTTCGCTTGGGGCATGCATAGCAGTTGGGTCAGTAGTTATCGAAAGGGCGGGTAAGCAACGAAATCATAGTTTCTGCGGCACGTGGACCGATGTCTAGAGCATGGTGAGCTCCATGATGGCATTGACTATGTCGTTGCTGTTGTTCTTCAGCGCCTTGATGGCCTTCGCTCGCGTCGTATTCGCCTGCGTTATGACCAGCTCAATGTCCTTCTCATCGACGCCAGTCTCGTCGACCTCCTCCTCATCTTCCTCGGCAATCGGAGCCACCGATGTGGTAGCACCAACGCTGTCGACGGCACCGGCAGCCTCTGGGGCCTTGAACTTCTCGGCGGCGGCGACCTGAGCCTGCTGGGACAGATCCTCAATCTTGGCCTCACCGAACACGATGTAGGTGTCGCTGTGGGGATTCTTGTACACATCCGGGTTGTTGATCACGAACAGAATGTTCTTCGACTTGCGGATGGTGACACGGTTGACGCCCTGGATCTGCTTCAGGCCCAGCTTGAGCATGATCTTCCTCGCCTTCTTCTCGCCGCGCGACTGCTTGGCCTTGGACACCAGATCGATGGGCAAGCCAGTGGCTCCGCCACCCAGCTGGGTGGTGCCTGCGCCAGTCTCCTCCAAGCCGGGCATTCCATCGGAGTCGCTGTCGCTGCCGTCATCCTCGACGCGCACATCCTCGACCTTGGCCACGGCGGAGGTGGAGGGAGCTTCGTTCTTGATTTCAGTGAGTTCTGGCATTTTTATCTGTAAAAAATCAAATCATTCATCTATTAGTCAATGCATTATAAAACTAATCACTTTAACTACGGTCTAGCCCAGCATCTGGTGCCGGCAGAAAATCCCCAGCTGGGGGCCATTTTCATTGATTTTTTTATGAATAATTCTACGTTTAAACATCTTGCCGAGGCAAAAATAGTTCCATCTACTGACTGTTTGTACTGTTGGCTACAGTATTTTGCATGAAAATATTAGATTTAAGGCGGGATGGCTTCTTAAAATAAGGAATTATTTACCTTTGGAAAAATTGCAGGAAACGCGAACCGCAGTTATTCGTGAAAAGAGATGGACCAATATATCGATATAAATGATAATATATTTGTGGGTGATAGTTTTTGAGCCGGCGAACTATTAATTTTGTAGATTATATCATCCTCTACTCTACTTCTTAGGACAAATGAACACTATTTTTCCTTTGGTTTCACAACGTTGGATGAGATATACCCACTAGTTTTGATAATGAAAATACTTGCACGTCTTATACGATACTTTTGTGCGATGTCTCGCTAATTTTGTTACCCAAAACGAAATGGAAAAAAAGAGCTTTGGCCGTTTTTGTTTGAACCTCATTATGTAAATTATCCAATGAAAATTAGCCAATTTTGTACAGAATTGTATAAAACTGCTAGTCATATTAAACCGAATATTAAAATCGAGGAATATCAACGCATCTTGTCGTGTCCGTCAGTATATTTACGGTATATTTCGATAATGAAAAGGTATATTTTGGTATATTTCTAGGGTCGGGCGGTATTTGATATCGCATGTGCGATTCGTTGTTATTATTTTTGTTCTGAGCCAGAATGGATGCAGCACAAAAGAATTGGACGGATGAGGAACGTCTGGAACTGGCCGCAAAGCTAGATGCCGAGCTGGATGCCTTCATCGAAGGGCTGGAGCATAAGCGCTATGAGGAGGGCTGGCCCGAGGATCGATGGCAGGAGGAAATGGACAAGCACCCGTTCTTTATGAAGAAAGCGCCACAGCCTGGCGACGATGTCCATCCCATGTTCGAGGGGCTGCAGAAGCTCAAGTACGATCCCGAGGAGAATACACGCGACGAGCTGGCTCTCAATTACAAGGAAGATGGGAACTTCTATATGAAGCACAAGAAATTCCGCATGGCCGTCTACAGCTTCAGCGAGGGCATCAAGTCGAAGACAGACAATCCCGATGTTTTGGCCGTGCTGTATAATAATCGCTCGGCGGCCCACTATTTCATCAAGAACTACAGATCCTCCCTGAGCGATGCTCAACGCGCCTTATTCTTCAAGCCGGACTACACAAAGGCTCGCTGGAGGGCCGCCCAGTGTGCTTATGAGCTGAATCAGTTTGACGTGTGCACGCAGATGTGCGAGGAGCTGCTGGAGGTGGATGTCGACCACAAGGAGGCCAAGGCGCTGCTGCACAAAAACAAGATGAAGAAGGTGACTGTGATGAGGATAATGTCGCGAATGTTTTCCCTACAAGCTCTTTTGTTCCTTTCAGCTGGAAACGGAACGCAATCAGCGCAAAGAGGCTGCCGAGTCCAAGCGTCGTCTGACCCGATTCCAAAAGCTGCGCGACGCCATTGAGCACCGTGCCATCAAATTTGACGATCAGAAGGTAGGAAAAAAGGCCAACATTACCGAGGATTTGCTGCGTCCCAAGTTCCTACCACTAGAGGACCACCCAGTGCACCTTGACGACGATGGCAGCACTCTAATCTGGCCGGCTGCCTTTTCCTACCCAGAGTTCCTCTTCAGCGATTTCCAGCAGCAGCTGCCGGAGACCGCCACCATGATGGATTGCCTTACGACGCTATTTGCCGAGCCACTGCCCTGCGACAAGTCGCAGAACTACCGACTGGGAAATGTGAATGTGTACTACGAGAACCGCAAGGCGGCCTGTGTCCACAAGGTGGAACTCGAGAAATCGCTAAGCGCGATTATCAATGAGAAGGGCTTCTTTGTCTCTGGCGGAGCCCTGCTCTTCTATGTGGTGCCCAAGGACTCGCGGGTTGAACAGGAGTTTTTACATGAGCAACGACGGCCGATGGTCTACAGTTGAGGCTATGACGAAATAAATGGTTCCATTATTGACAAATCAAACGACTATTTTGGTTTTTCTGTTCCACTGGCCGGCTCCGACTGGAGTCCGATTAAAATTGCATACTTTGTAAATTTTTATTTCGTTTGCAGCAAATACTTTTTATTAAGCTTACATCTTAGTCACGGTACAATTGAGCTTTGGTGGGGCTATAGAAGCATTTTAGTTAATGGGACTAATCAGTTTTTGATATGTTATGCGAAGCCAAAAAGCGTAGTTCCAGCCACACACACACCGCCCCTAAATATCTGGGGGCGAGGCGTGATGAGCCGAGTATAATGTTACATTTTATGATTAGGTTATTACATAGAATTAAAACTTGTTTAACTTAATTTGGTTTTCTTTTCAACAACGAGGCGCCTAAATGAGTCAACAATATCGATTTTGTATAATTCTTATAAAAGCGTTTCTGTAAATTTTCCATAATTGAGCATATTCGTGTGGGTATGTATAAATCGTAGGGTAGAGGGTAGGGTAGAGACGACGTTCATCATCAATTCAATTCAATTCAATTCACAACAGTAATACTAGGAGCGCTCCTTAAATGGAACTGGATATGATTCGTTTAGAGTACTTATGACAAAGCTGGATCAACATATAAGGCTATATAGAGACTAAGTGCATCGTTGGAAAGCGTATTACATACATGGATAAAATAATATGAAGCTGATGAAATCAGCTCTCATCATTAAACAACACAAACAGCTGGAGAGATCACAATCACAAGAGAATCTATAACATAAATTAAGCGATACTTAAAACAATTAAAAGGCGTGCTTTCAGTAGGTGTCCCTGCGAAATCCGTCCTTGCTAAAATTATAACTCCTACGGCTGCGGCGACGGAGAATTCCGCTGCAAGACATTGTTCAGACGCATTTTCAGCGGCGAAAAGTCAATTCTCTTGAAGCGGGGCAGCGAGGCAAACTTTTTCATGCTGCCCCCAGACGGTTGGAGTTCATGGGACGTGGCCACCGACTGAGTCATGGGCAGCTGCAGATGGGCCACTGGCTTGCTCTTGCTCGGGGAATTGCCAAACTTCGCCAGCGTGGCATACTTCTGGAGCAACCGTGTTGCCTGCTCGGCCGCCTGATAGTGGTTCTCGTACTCATCCTCCAGCTTTGACTGGACAATGCTCCCGTTCATGGTGGGGCATCTTGGCTGTGTCTGCGATTTCTCCTCAGTGGCCTGCCCGTCATCGAATTTGAAATCAATATTCTTGAGCATGGTTAGGTGCAAGAGCTCCTCCTCTATTCCTTCGATATTATTGTTATTGTGGTGGTTGCTGTTTGTGCTATTGGGGCGCTTGACCGGATGAGTCACGGCATAGACACCCTCGGAGATCTTGTGGGCGGCAGTCTTCTTCGTTGAGATTTTAGTCTTGGTGGTTGATGATGCTGTTGCTGATGATGCTGCTGATGCGGATGGGTTGTTGGTCTTCTGTCGCTGCTCGATGATTTGCTGTGGCGACGATATATAGAGATTCTCCTTGCGTTCGCGGCGCAGCTTGGAACTAACGAGGTGCCTCAGACTTGGTCCATGTTCGGTGGGACTTCGTCGCTTGGATTTGAGAGTATCGCAACTGTTTGGATAGTAGGAGGGCACCTTGTCGTCTACGCTTATGATGGACTTCCTGGGCGTCTGGTAGTAGTCCTCCTCCTCCTCCTCCTGATAGCTGTGCTTCTCCTTGGGCGTACCCTTTTGCGGCAAGGCCGGCAAAGGAGATTCGGTGGGTGTGCTGGTGCTGAGGCCCATGCCGTGAGGTTGCGCCTCCAGCTCCTGGGCGGCCTTGACAGCCAAGAGATTCTCATACAAATGCTCGGCAAAACCGGACGCAGCTGCTGCTGTGGTGCTGTTCAAGGAGCTGCCATGCATGGCCTCGTAAATGTCACTCTCATTGGCAGCGGGCGCTACCAATGTCTTGGTGGGTTGGTCCTCCGTGTTGCAGCTGCTGGTGGAGGAACAGTAAGAGCCTGTAGAATATCCAGACGAAGTGGAGGCGGTGCTTCCAGTTGGCTGCGGCAGCACCTCCTTTTCTACAATCTTCACAATGGGCGCCATCACACAGTATCCGGTCAGATCGTCCACCAGAATCTTATTTCTCTTCACCTGATTGCTGTGCGGCACTGCACCATGGGAGCCGATCAGATTAATGGTCGATGAATTACATGCGGAAAAGTTAAAGTTATTCGGCAGCTGCTCCGATACATTTAAGCTCTCCAGGGAGCCGGACTTGCTTAGCTGCCTCGTGATCTGGGCAACCAACTGATCCCGTGAGATTGGTTCAATGGCCGAGTCATCCAGGCTGATGTTCAGCTCAACGCTCGACTCGTGGCTTTGCGTGAAAATGTCCTCCCCAAAGGTGTCCAGAAAGTTGAGCTTGGACAGGTCGGGACTTGAGAAGCTATTACGCTGCGATTTGTTCAGCTGCGACGTGCGCTTCAAGGGCAGAGCCATCTCTGGAGTCGGTGCGTTCTCGTAGAGGGGCAGCTGGTCGTCCTTCGGCTGCTGGACGGGCTCACTAATACTGCCCGAGCGCTTCTGACGCGTGCTCCCGAAGAAGTTATCCAGCATATTCTTGTATTTCTTCTTCTTGGCCAGCTCCACCTCGGGATTGGTGCAGGATCGAGGAATATCGCCCAATGGAGAGCACTCAAAGGTGTTAATGCGTTTACGATATGGATGTGTGGGTAGGGGAGGCGGCGAAGGCGTCTCCATTACAGCTGGTTTCATCTCCTCATATATGCCCGAGGCAATGGAGGCGCGCGATATTCGGCTGCCGTCAAAGATTTCCTCATAGATCTGCGAGACACGCGCCGAGAAATGGCTGATGTCCAAAGTATCTGGCAGATTCGGCAGAGGCCCCAGCGCGCCAGGTCCTCTACTTAGGCGGCGCTGCTCCAGAAAAACCTGTCTATACAGCTCCAGATTCTTGATGGACTTCTTCATCCACTTCATGTGGCGCCGACAGGACATCTCCGTTTCCAGGGCAAAGTAAATGAAGCACTCGCGCCGATTTTGGGTCCAAAACAGCCCGTACGAGTGCTGCTTGGTCCGTGATGTGGCCAAGCTCATGCTGACCCCGGGCACATTTACCGAGACACTCAGCGCCTTGGAAGATGTTGGCGGCGGCTCCTCTGCCTCCGCAGATCCTTGAAATGTGAGTCGCAGGAAGCAGGGCACACACTTGATGGCTTCGATTTTCACTTGGCATCGAGTCCACGTCTTAAAGCGCAGCGCCATTGCGCGCTTATCGTGTGTATCCAGCTTGACGTCCATGCACATGGAAATCTCGTTGTGGTCCATCTTGGCCGCCGTTCGACTGTTCTGTGCTATGGGCGCAGGATGATGTTGTGCGGGTGGGTGTGCGTCGAGTGGAAATAAAAAGGTGAACGATTTAATTACGCTATTTGCAGATTTACATGTTTTTTTTCGAATGGGCGGAGTCCGAAGGATGTATATGGATATATCGGCAGTACAATAGGCAAATATCAATATCGATATTTTCATGCGATTTTTTCAGAGCACATATCGATACGCATTCGTGCATCCCTAGCTTCAGCATTTTTGGCGGCCATTACAACGTGAGATTTGGCGGAGAAAATAAATGCGTAAACATAACAGCAAGCAAATAGCAGACGCGCTCGCTTGAACATTATCAAATAAGTATAACGAACAGCATTGAAGATGTCTACGGGAGCTGCCAGAGTCTACATCCAAGTCGAAAGCGAGGCCGAGCAGCAGGAGCATCTGAAGCAACAACGCAAGACATTGAAGCCGCTGCACGGCAACGTCAACGATAAGGAGAATCTGTCGGGACGCGCCTCCATCGTGGATCAACTGAGTCGCTTGAAGGCCGGCGTCCCAGTTACGCCCAGTACCAAATACGGCAAACGCAAATGCGTGGACACGGCAACCGCTGCAACATCGACGAAGGATGCCGATACACAGACTGAGGCTCAGGAGAAGCCGCAGAACGACGCTGACAAACCCATCACAGCAGACGATCTCACCAGCGAGTGTGAGCCCGGGGAGAACTACTACAAATTGTTGGCCGAACAGCGGCGGGTTGCTTTGGAGGACTCGCTGACGGAGAACCGACATCTGCACGAACGCATCGAAGGACTGGAGGAGGAGATGGACACGATGCGGCAGGAACTAGACGAGGCTAAGAATCTGGTGGAGGTGCTCAAGGAAATCTGTGACGAGGACACCAGCGAGGTGGAGGAGGACGAGCAAGAAAAGGCCGCTCAGAAGTAAATGCCCTGCCCCCATCCATGCTCACGTGTTTTGTTTATTTAAAATTATACCATTAGTTGTAGTTACACAATTCCTTCATTTTATAATTTATCCCTGTATGTACCCAAACCCAACGGACTGGTCTCAGTGAATGCCAGCAATATTTTTACCTGTTAATCGCCAGTTATGATGTTCCCAATAAAAGTTATCTGCTAATCTGAACCCGTGCGGTTGACTGTAACAATTGCCAAATAAACGAATATTTCAATGTTTATTCAATAGGAAAATACATATACAGTTTTTAGTTTTTAAGCCACCTAAATGCTCCTATTTCAGCCAATCACTGATTATTTCCTCGCCGTTGAAGTTGTCCACATCGAACTGGTAGGGAGGATGACACAACTTGTTAGTGATTGGGAAATTACAATTTGGACACAGCTGTACTTACCTCAACAGCCTCCTGGTAGGTGGGCACGCTACCACTGACGTCCACATCGTTCACCACCGCATTCATGTATGCAGCATCGGCCTCTGCTGCTGCTTTGCGTATGGCTGCCTCAGAGTCGTCCGACTCGGCCACATTGGACTCCTTAACGGTGGATTGCTCATTCTTGTTTGCTTTAGCACCCAATACCTTGCCGTGAGCCGATTTAAAGTGCTGCCGCAGCGCATACATGCGCGAGTACTCTGCCCCGCATTCACTGCAGGAGCACTTGCCACCAGCAAGAATCTTGACCGAGTCGTCTTCGTTTTCAGCCGAAACAATCACGGTTGTACTTTTGCTGCCTTTATCGCGCTTGTGTGTCTTCATGTGATTGTTGACGCCATACATCGTGGAGAAGGGACGATTGCAAATCTCACACTCGAATGGCTTGGTGTGCGAATTCTTATGGCCGTTCAACTGCACAGATGTGCGGAAGGACTTGGAGCATATATCACAGGAAAACTGACGCTCCGCGCCATGGATGAGGAGGTGATGAGCGTAATTTGACTGCAATTTAAAGCTACAGCGAAAGGACAATGTATTATTATTATTATGAGCTCTTTGATTGCGTTACTTTGGCACTCACCGCTTATTGCAGACAGTGCACACGTAGGGGCGAATGTCTGTGTGGGAGCGCAGATGCAGGGTGAGAGAGTATGAGACGCGAAATGTTTTGCCGCAAGCCTCGCAGGCGTAGGGCTTCTCTCCTGTGTGCACACGTTCGTGTTTGACCTTCTCGAATGGCCGGTAGAATACCTTATCGCAGTACTGGCATGGAAATTGTGCTTTACTCTTGTCGACGGGCCCCTTTTTCGACATTGAAGCAGTAGGCTCCGCTTGTTTCTTCTCATGCATCTTCAAATGCATCCGGTAGTTGGTGGGGTTTTCGAACTGGCGATTGCAAGTGCCGCACACAAACTTGTTTGGGGCCTCCACGTGCATCTTCTGGTGAATCGTCTTGAGGCCGTAGTCGAACCTGAAACAGGATGGCACTGTGAGGGAAACACTCGTTATCTGGCTTATCGGTGGCACCTACTCTCTTTGACAGATCTCGCAGTAGAACAGATCCAGTTCGCTATATTCCTGATGGGCGCCCACAGGAAGGGCATCCTTAATGCGCTTGGGCTTGCGCTCGTCGTGTATGCGCTTGTGGAACTTGAGACTCTTTTCCGAGGTGAAAATGGTATTGCAAATTTTACAAATAAATTTGGGGCTATCTCCGTTAATGTCTGCCGTTGCTCCGGCGCCAAGAGCTTTGCGCCGGACGGGTTGCTTGGGCATGGCCGACCTTTGGCTGGCTCCATTGCCAGCCCCTTCTGGTGGGCACACATGGTTTTCGGCACTGCTGTGGCTGTCGTATATGATGTGGCAATCAAAGCAAAAGTAACGTTCCGACTCTGTATCGGCTTGCTGTGGTGCTGCATCGTCATCGTCATCTATCACGTCCCAGAGCGGCACATCTGCTTCCACTATTTCCTCCTGCTCGACCAAATCCATCTCGTCTATGGATTCCCTGCCGCTGAGGCAGGTGCCACTGTGATGGTCCTCCTCGTATGCCTCTTCGTTCTCGTATAAATTCCTACAAATGTTGCAATATAGCACGGACTCCTGGACATTATTGTCGTCCACGTGCATGGAGGTATCGGTAGCTGGTTTACCACGCTTGATGGAGGCTGAATGGAAGAAATGGAACTGTACTGTTGGTGCCATGAGACTATGACAGTTCATACTTACACGACATGGCATTATTTCGAGCAATTTAAAACAAAAAAATAAAATTATTTACAATCCAGGTGTTAGTGTGACCGCGGACTTTTAGGAAAAATACCCCATGTGACCCTCGAAAATATACCGTATATATTCCGAAATACTGTAAATATACCGTGCTGCTATCGATTTATACAATCATCATATCGATAGGAAGCGGGTTAAATTAAGAAACCAATCGGAGTCAAATTGTTATTTAATTTCTGCATTTTAAAACCAATTCAATTTAATTGTTTTGGTTCTTGATATATACGCGGAACATGGAAAACATTTGTGCGGCTTAAAAAAACATTGGAAACTTGGATTTCCGCCTTCAGTCTGGTCTGTGGGCAGAACAACAAAACCAGAAATTATGTCAACTCTTGCGAAAACACATTAAGCATGCGAGTGCGGGAGATCTACAGACGCGTCATACCTGATTTGGATCTGGCGAGTCGCCTTCTGAATGCCAACTCGGATCAAGTGAGCAATGGCTGTCTGCTTTGGAGCGATCATGAATAAAAGTTGGGCAGAATTACGACTAGGAAAACCCTGCCCTGCCGCATAATTGTGAATTCAACTTACACATGGGGAATTCTTGCGACGATGCAGCAACAACAAGCACACGGAATACCGCCAGGCGTGCCGCCACCTGCCTGCCTGCCACCTTCCGCGTGGCGACTGGTTGCAGAGCCTTGATCGATCGAATTAAATTTGAATAAAAGCTCGCAGAGATCGGGCAGCCCGTGGTGCATGCCAATGAGCTTCGGTGGCCGCGCATCACCCACAATAAATAGATGGCGACATTCTGTGGCCTCCACACTCACAATGGATCCACTCAAGAGTTATCTGCTGCTCCTGGCCACGGCAGTCTGTCTGACGGTCTGTGTCCTGGCCACGCCCACGCTCGGCAAGTCCAAAGAAGTCGCCCTGAAGCCGATCAACCTACCGGATCCAAGCCAACTTCTATCGACTCTGTCATCGAAGCTTATCAAGCCGAAGCCCGCCTTCATTTCCGATCCTAAGCAGCTTCTGGCGGGCCTATCTTCCAAGTTTGTGAAGCCAAAGCCCGTTTTTGTTAAGCCCGTCATCGTGAAGCCCGTGATTGTGGTCAAGCCGGTGCTTGTCGGTGGTGCCGGCGGAAGCGGACACGGCCATGGTCATGGACACGGACATCATGGCAAAAATAAGTACATAAGCAAGCTTAAATTTTAGCAATTTATAATTAAGATTACGAACTGCGAATAAAGTTAGATTAAAATGTAAAAAAGAGAACCTACACTTAAGAATCTGTAAGACCTGTATTCATTCATTCAGCTGTATTCAGCTGCCTGATGATTGAAAAGTGAAAGGGACAACCTCGGAAGGATTCCAATAAGCGCATCTCGATGTGCATAATGATGGTGCCTAATGATGGCCTTTGTGAGCAAATTGAAAGGCGTTGCTGAGTGTTCGCTGCTGTGCCACAACTCCAACGCAACCATCCTGCCAGCCCACAGGACGTATGCGCAATTGCAATTGAATGGGATTGGGAATGGGAATGGGAATGGTACTCGAACGGTTGAAGGACAGCGCTCGGCAGGCGACACACATTAATACACAGCTGCAAGCCAAGTGGCGATACGAGCAGCAGCGCATTTTAATCAACCTAATCATAATCATATGACCATAACAGACATTTGGCCACAAATACTGAGCGATGTAACCCCATAATTTATACAGTTTGTTTTCTGTTCTTGTCTCTTGTGTTGTCTTGGGGGCCCTTTGTAATCAGCAGCAGAGTCAGCCAATACTAACCGCGTATTATGCAAAATCCAACCACCCCTCCCAACCCCAAGCCACGACCCCAAACACAGCCACAGCCACAGCTACAGCCCAACCACGCCCACGGCGTGGCCCTAGCATCCGAATGGATGCAAAAGGGGTATAAAAGCGAGTTGGCCAGAAGTTTTGCAAACATTTTGACACCGTTTGCGGACTCTGACAGAGTTTTGTGTGTGTGGAATACATACTTGTAATATTTTCAAAGTGAACGCGCAGCCAGCCAGCCAGCTAAGGGCTCTCAGAATGGTGAGTACAGTAGACAGGGGGGTTGGATGGAGATCGAGATCGAGATCGAGTGGGATGATGGGATGGAAACGGGATCCCTATCGATTTAATGCTCGATCGTTTGCGGTTGGATCGAGATTGGGCTGGGTGTTAGTTTGTGTTTTGTGTGTTTTGTGTTTTGTGTTTTGTGCGGCGGCTGCTGCTGCCGCTGCTGCTGCTGCTGCTCTGGCAATTATTTCTGAGCTGGCGTCGGCTGGACTGGATCTATTTTTAGATTTAGCTTCAATTACATTGCCACTAGAAACGAGTTTAGCCGCCAAAGCCAGCCGCCAGAGGAAAACCCATTCAATCGGCCGTTTGGCAATTGAAAATGTTTTGAAAATGCTATTTATGCACAGGTCGCGGCTCGAAAGGCATCTCAGCTGCTATACTCGTACTCGTGCTCGTATCTGGATTTCTTAAGTGGCCATCACGAGTCCGAGTCACGAACCCAGATGTGTCTGAAGAGATACAGTTACGCCGCTTCGCTATTCTCTCCGTCTCCCTCTCCCCTGCAGATCGTTTTCGCTCTGTCTGACCTTTGCGTTTCTCCAGCGCGCCGTGAAAGTGCTCCGTCCGTCCGTCCCGTCCCGGCTTGTGTTTGGCATTTCCTTACAATGTGCCTAAGTATTCTCTTTTATCATTTGCGTGTGCGCTGCCCATTTAGATCCGAAAGCGGCAATTAGCTCTGTCCGCCCCGGTCTTAGTCTCAGTCCCCATCCCGCCTCTTGCCTCTTTCTCCGTTTGGATTTCTCGTGCAGCTTAATCTCGTTCGCTCAAAGTCAATCTTCTGGGCAGCATTTTCATAATGGTTGCATAAGCTGTAGGCACAACACAACAGCTTGTCCCAGGCGCAGGTACAGGTACGGCTACCAGTTCTCAGTTCCCTCAGTTCTCAGGGCAAGTGTTCTATCCAGGGAGATACAGATCAATTGAATTGGATCATACGTACGCGTTCCATATTACAAGTTTGTTGACACCCCGCCATCGTATACGTAATATTTGTATTACAAAAAAAACCTGAATATGCCATACATAAAAAAAGTATTATTATATATGCATGTATTATATAAAGTATCAGGGGGCGATTGAGTGAACAGTGGGCAGATGGAAGATATACGAGCCGCGGGGCAGAGCGCAGGCGCAAGCGCACAATGATCGTAAATCTAATTGTGAACAGGCCTACCTACATTGTTCGTACGTTTATGGTACTCTGGTACTCTGGTACTCGTTGGTATAGCTATAGCTATAGCCACTACTAGGTACAATGTGTATATTGAGTCTCGATCTGTCGAGCTGGCTCTGCGGGTGCTGCGGGCGGACAGACGAGCGCGGCTGCACGTAACGGAACGGAACGGAAACGGGCAATAATTTGCGACGCAAACGTTTTACAGCGCATTAACGAGTACTTAGCATGGAGATCGAGATGGTCCAGCGGCAACTCGAAAATTTCTTTAGGAGTTAAGTGTGGGAGGAGCTGCTGCCACACCCGCCCCGCCACACACCCGCGCTGATGCTCGCGCTTTTTCTCCTGTGCGCATGACTTACAGTGACATTCTTCAATTCTACAATTTCAATGAGTGTGTGTTTGTGTTTGTGTGTGTGTGGTGTGTGTGTGTGTGTGTGTGTGTATGACACGGTAAGCCCAGCGTCAGTGGCCAGTGTCCAGTGGCCAGTGGCGTCGTCTGATCGCCGAGTGCAACGACAGGGGGCTGAGCACTGCGATAACCCAAGTAACGGCCATGACTGGCAGCGATCGCTTTTGGATGTGGGGGGTGGGGGGACATGGATATGCATGTGGACTTATCACCCTCTGGCCACTTCCTTTGTCCGTCTAAAGACCCCATTAGAGGCGCTTGTCTCCGCCAGCGATTCGGGCGTGGGACGAACGCGCCGACTATGGGGGAGGGGGAGCGGTGGGGCCTGATTTGGGGCCGCATTGTCTGAGAGACACACATACAAGAGCAAATGCCAAACAAAACGAAATAAACCGCTGGCACATGCGTGCTTTTCGAGCAAGAAACGTTCTATATACAGGCGAGGGGCGACTGCAGAGTTCCTCACACGCGAAAGTGAAAATATCATCCGTAGGCTACAAGTATTTTGTCGCACAAGAGGAAATTCCCAAAGGGGAATGCACATGTGTATCATATATTGATCGATCAACCCTCGTCGCCTCGCTTATATGTACATATGTATGTGGCGATGTATCTGTGTGATGTGCATGGGCTCTGGCAGAACGGTCCCCAGCATTTTGACATTTGAGTTTTGCAGTTAGTCTGCTTTCTGCTTCTCTTGCGGCTTGGGGTTTTTCCTATTTCTCTGGCTGCGTTGGAAAATCCTTAACTTCGGTGCACTTTTTCGCGATCGAATCCGTATCCGAACCCGAATCCGAATCCGTGTCTTGCTGTGCTGTGCTGTGTCCCATTGCCTTGGCTCCACGTCGTGCATATCGTGCATACAGTGTATCGGCATACATATCGGCTATAGATATAGCCGCGTATTTGTTTTGTGCAGGGTGAATATTTTGGAAAATTACCCAGAATCGCGTATGCCTGGGCATACTATATATCCGAATATATGTACATATATGTGAATAATAATCGGTGTGAACGTGAGAATTGTGCGGCCCCTGCGACGCCGCTGTCGATGCCGCCGAGTGTCAATTATGTGGAAATATATTTACAAAAATATATACAGATATATTTCGTATACATGTACGTACGTGTGTGCTAGTGTGTGTGTGTGTGTGTGTGTGTGATTCCTCCTGGCACTGAATGTCACTAAATGCGCCCGCCCGCCCCCCACATAGGCCCGCTTCTTAGTCGCATGTGACAGAAAGAGAGAGAGAGAGAGAGAAAGAGTGCAAGAGAGGGAGTGTACACTGTGTCTGTGTGTGTGTGGTTGTGGTGCGTGTAGATCAGTCGCGCCCCCTCCCTTACCCCACTCAACAAACAATTTTCATTCATTCAATCGTTGCCCACCGCCCCCCGCCCCCTGCGCTCGATCCAAGCGGCAATTTTGCTTTGGCTCTTCTCCGATCCGATCCGCTCTGCGCTGCGCTGCGCTGCTCTGTCCTGTCCCCAAAGCCACGCACAAACAAAACGACAACAGATAAAGAGGAGGCAGAGAGAGAGAGAGAGAGAGAACGAAAGAGCCGAAGAAGAACAGTGGGTTGCATGGATAGTGCCCTGGCCACGCCCCCCTATGACGCCTATTAGGCGTTATCAGCGCACACATAAAGACCTGACCAAAATCCACACAAAATGGCGATGAACCCGAGTGCCAGAGAAATACCGCAGGCCTGAATCTGAATCTAACTGCCGTTGGATCTCGGCAACCAAGCAACACATCCATCGACCACATCGACCACATCGACCCGGGTCCGCCCCGGAGGGAGGAGGAGCGATAAGCGATAATCGCGAAAATTTTGGAGCCCAAAGCTCGCATCGAACCCGAAACAAGCGGCTAAGGTAAGCGGAGACTTTGCATATTCGGAATATACTCGCACAGATTAAAAGATGGGATATACTCGTATCATTTACGAGTATCAGGGTATAGGGTATAGATATATCTATTCCTTGTAGGAGTGCCCGTATAGATCTGTGAGCTTCGGTTTACCCGATGCCAGCCTTTCTTCCATGTTTGCGTATTTCTTTAGCGGTCTCACACCCATTTTACAAGTTCAGTCTGTCCCAATTTGAGGTTAATAACATCGGCTATGGGTCTGGGGTCTGGGTCTGGGTCTGAGGCCATGTACGATTAATTCGTAAATAGTCGCTGTCGGTGTCGGTGTCGGTGGCCCTGTCCCAGTCCCTGGCCCTGGCCCTGCATTTTGTACGCGGTAGTACCTCAACTCAAATGACAAACACACAAATTTGTGTGAAAAGAAATTGTTACAAGGTCAATACTAGTTTGAGCGAACGAAGCGAACGTTGGCAGAAATATTTACGTGTCCATTTACAAGCATTTACAGGGTTCTCCTCCTCTCATTCTGCCCCTACATTTTGTTCTCTGTTGTGTTTGTGTTGTAAATTCAGACGTGTTTATTTTTATTAGCGCATATTTTGTCGCACAATAGTTGAAGTTGCCGACGCGTTGGCTTGTGTGTGTTTTGTGTCTGTGTGTACGAGTCAAGATTCTCCGGCGACAATTTCCGGTTCCGTTATTTAAATCTGTAATGGGTGTTCCACCACCACCACCACCACCATCACCATCACCACCACCATAACACCATTAAGCATATGCGTATGTGTGTTTCATTCAATTTACACTCATTGATCAGTTTCAGTGCGTGGGAAACCATCCATTGCAATGCATTGCCTCTGCCATTGATCATTCTCCTTAAGCGGAGCAGATCGTGGTATAAGCGAATGGAAGTCACCATTTCCTATAGTTTGCATAGTTCTATATGCTAGGATGATGACCCATCCCTCCAAATACTTCCTATAATCCGCAATAGATGATTGTCATTAAATGCGCTTCTCAATCGAATTTCTTGTTGCATACCATTCGGAGCATGGAACTGCTCGGATCGGAATTTTCCTAAACGCTTATAGTAGATATATGATTCATCTAAGCCTATATCCATATGCAGCTTACTGCTGCAAATATTATTAAATAGATCAATTGCATGCCTGCGACCTGTCGAGCAACTTATACGTACATATATAAGTATAACAGGATTGACCATATCGGGCACTATCGGGCATCATCATTATATTTCTAGGAAGAGAGGAATGCGAGAGGAATCCCTGAAGATTATTTTTTATTTTTTTTTCCATTCATCGGTTGCTTTACTCCGGGCGGGGATATACTTTCCTGGAATGACTCATTGCCGTTCAGAAAAAGTGCAAGTCCCCTGCCTCCAACCCTCCCTCTACGCCCTATTGCTGCCACTGAATTATGCAAATTAGTCGAGTAACGACTAACGACTAACGACTAACGACCAACGACCGAGAACAGGAGCGATAACTCAATATGGCAGTGACCAAATTGGGGCATTAATTGAATTCGGTTCTGTTTAATAATATTATTAGCGTCGCTTGAGGGGGAATGTCCAGGGACTGGCGGGGACGCTTGGGATTTTGCATGATGAATTGCGAGAAATCAGATTAATCAAGCTGACGAGTGACGAGTGAGTACGCAATCCACGACACGGGGGGCATGTGATTGTATCAATGGAGCTGGAGACAGAGATGGAGGGAGACTCGTGCAATTCGATTGTCTAATTGGGATGGAATCTTTTCTCTCTAGTAGTTCGAAAAGGGTGCAAAGTGCAGGTACAGTTCCGGGTGGCACGGGAAAGTGCCCAGTCACTGTTCGTCTGAGTTTTGGGCCAATTTTCCCCCACTTACCGCCAGAGACAATGGAGCGAAGTGGGATTGTTCTGCAATTACAGGTCGCAGATAATTGCATTGATTAGCAATCGAATCAATTATTAATAATATCCAGAGGGGGAAATCCCTTTCCCACAGGCCCTCGCCTCGCCTCGCTCTCCTCATCCACAAGTCCAGAGAACAATTGCAGAGCAACAAGTGAAAGAGAGCGCGTAGCCGCAGCAGCAGCAGCAGCAGTCGAACGGATCACACACACATCGATACTTGGCCTGAGAGTCACTGAGAGCGGAGTATCTGTGTGTATCGACGCTGCTTCGCTCTGGTGGCGGTGCTGCTGCTGCTGCTGTTGCTGCTCTTGCTGCCTTCTGGCTCTGCTCGCTTATAACACAATGTTACCGCCAAACGCCTCGTAGTCCTTAAAGACGCAGCAACAAGTAAACATCGAATCGAGAGCCGCAGAACAGCTTGAACATTCAGATTCAGATACAGATACAGATTCCGAATACAATTCCGATTCAGTTTCCGATTCTGATTCCGATTCACGCTGTAGTGTAACAAAGTGCGCCGGCAATAAATAAGAATCAAGTGCCCATTGAATTAATTCTCTGCAGAGAAACACACAGTGAGAGAGTGAGTGAGAGACAGAGAGAGAGAGAGAGAGAGAAAGAGTGTGCCATAGAGCGGGAAAAAAAAAGGTGAAATAATCGTCAAGTTTTACGTGGAACGAACCTGTAGAACGCGTGCCGTGCCGTGCCGTAGTACTGCACCATGCGGTGCCGGTCACCAAAAAATTGCTTCTAAAAAAAAAAAAAACCACAAACAAACCACAACCGAAATTACGAAAATGTAATAAAAGTTTTTAACATTTAAACTCAAACTGAAACTCGATTTTGGAGCAGCTTTCAAGATTGCCAGCAATTAAAAAATTACGACTAAATGTTCAAAATAAAACAGATCGAATTTAAGCAAGTGGTGTGGTGTATGTTGTGTGATGTGAGTGGAAAATAACCGCGCTAATACGCGTTAAATGATGGAAAAATTGAACAATCGTTGTTCAGTTAATGCATTTATAAAGGCCGCGCTTGCATGGGCACCGATTAGCCAAGAGAGTGTGCAATCGATTTGGCCGAAAGAGGCCCATGGCCCATGCACCATGCACCAAGTACCAATTGCTTATCGGCTCCGCTTTAATCTGTAATCTTTGTGTTCAGGTCCACACTCGAAAGACCGACCGATCGGCCTGTCCTGTCCTGTCCTGTCTGTCCATGCGTCCGACTGTTGACCGAATTGCCATAAGGCTAAAAACGGGAACGGAACGGAGCTACCTGCTGCTGCTGCTGCTTGCTGCTGCTGGACAACAGCAGCAGCAGCATCATCATCATCGTCTTGGCCGCCCTGGTCCCTCTCCCATATAGCCATATCAGTGTTGGCCCTTGCTGCTGCTTCTGCTGCTGTTGTTGTTGTTGGTTTCGCATTGATGTTGCCACCATGCAACAGCAGCAGCAGCAGCAGCAGCTACACAAAGTCCACACAGACACACTTACCCATCATGGTTGTGTGTGTGAGTATCTGTAGTCCGAATTCGGACGGACCTTTTCGTTTCATTCTGTGTGTGTTGTCAAGGGTGCGGCAGAACAACTTTCGTTGATATTCGATCGAAATTGATCCGCTGATGATGTCATAAGTGATGCCACAGCATCACCGAAACAGGGACAAGGGTCTGCTCGAGTGGCTGTTTGTTGCTGTTTTTTTTCCTCTTTCTTTTTCCTTTTTTTATTTGGTATTGATGGAATGGGGAATTTATTGGAATGTCTTTGGCATCATTTCCTCGAAATCATCAAAATCGCTGGCGCGGCATCTCTCTATTGCTGCGCCGCCACGCCACGCCACGCCCCGCCCCTCCACGCCTTCTCCAGCGCTCACAATTGTGCGTGTGCAACAGGAAATATATATTTTATGTTATAATGTACATATGTATGCGTGCCCCTGCACATAAATATCGATATATGTATATACATATATGTGCATTTGTATGCTGGTATATATATTTTTTGCGTGCAAACACTTCCGACATTTTAAATGCAGCAAACGAAGCGATCGGACCGGCTAAATAAATCAACATCAACGGCGGCAATGGCAACGGCAACGGCAAAGGCAAAGGCAGCAGCAGCGGCAGCATGGACGCCAGCAGCCGCAGCCGCAGCCCAGCCAGTGGCAGCTAGCAGCTGCCCCCGTCCCTGTTCCCGTTCCCCATTTGGCCACTCAATGCATATTAAATGATTTAAATCAACAACGTCGGCGGCATCGACAGCAGCAGCAGCGACATTAATAACAATAAATGACAATCAGCGATCGGGGCGGTGGTATAACAAATGCCATTTAGCACATGAGCATCTGAGCATCTGAGCATCTGAGGTGCACATTTATTTATAATGTAAATGTTCTCAAATTGGAAACGATTCCCATCCAGGCAAATCAAGTGTAATCGGTGGCTGAAATTAGTATACAGCAAATCGGAACGGAGTGAAAGCAAATCCCGATTGAAAACTAAATTATGGATATTCTGTGATATTTTAGATAAACCCCAACCAAACCCAACATCTGCGGCCACAGCAACTTAACTACAAACAGTAGAGAAAATATAAAACTAAATGCAAAGAAAACTGTGTTATATACAAAGTACTTAAACAGCAAACAAGCGAAAGTACTTGGGCAAACATTACACTCCAGCATTATACAATAATTGGACAACAAACAAACTTCTCGCTCTCAAAGAGATCTGAGAACCAAACAACCAACAAACAAACAGAAAAAAAAAAACAAAAACTTAAACTTAAACTCAAACTCAAGCATCGCAGACAGAGAAATTGTTCTACGCTATGAAGAAGCTGTCACTAAATGTGAGTATCAATCGGGTTGACATCAGCATTCTACACATACTCGTACTCGGATGGGGATGGGGGATGGGGGATGGGGGATGGATGGGTAATGCAAACAACATGTTGTTGCCACTTCAGGGTGGGCAGGGAGGGGGCGGGTGTAATGAAATGCACTTTTCAAGTTCAGAAAAACGGAATACTGGAATTCTGGGAAAGGGGCATTGTGGGGATGCGCGGGGAGTGCGTGTCATGTTA